AATATAATATGGTATAAAATTTATTTTTAAAAATGGTAAAAAAAGTTCTAAAATATTTATCAAATATTAGAATATCTGATTGTCATCGATAGTTGAATCTTCCCAAAAAGAAATAATCGGTCTCAGAGGAAAATGTTTATTTCATGGGTCAGTAAGAGAACATCTTACTTAATAATTTGCATTTTACAAGCGCTCTAAGTTGTATGAAATTATCTTGAAATATTTACGAATTTATGAGAATTTAAAGATTCTTTGTTAAAACTAATTTAGTCAAAAATTCAACCCTTTAAAACAATGAATATCAGTAAGTTGCCGGCTCTTAACCTCGGAACCATTATATATTATTTTACTCCTCTAATTATTATTGTCATTCTTTATCATAATACTTGAATTCACAACTGCATAAAATAGGATATGTTTCTTGAAAGTGAGATTATCTAGAATTGACAATAGATCCCTACTTTTTCTCCATATTGGGACTATAGAGCAATACCCCACCTATTTCAGTAGATTGGGAGTCAGATTCGAATATTTTATTTTAAAAACAAGTCCCAAAGTTAGATAAGAAAATAATGAAAATATTCGATTTTAAAAAAAAATAGTGCCAAAGGAAAATGTAAAAAATTATAAATGGTGCTAAAGAAGAAAAATAATATAAAATTTGGTGTTTTTTTATTAAAAGGAATATTCTAGCAAGACCGAGTTTTAGAATGCTGCCCAAGCTGGACCAATATATGTTCCACCGGATCGGACAGATACATGCAGGTAATTTAATCTAACCTAACAAAATTCTTTATAGTATCTGTATATATGTATTATATAAATCAGCTGTTTTATTTTGTAATCATTTAATTTTAAGACATGGATAGAGAGAAATTAGATATTCTGGAACAATTATGATTTTCTTAAGTATATGAAAATGATATATTTTGCATATTTTTTCCTGATAAATCGGGGTCTATTAATACCTCGGCATTAAAAAAATTTATATATTTTTTATTTTATAATTAAATGCAAATTTATATATAGTTTAGGTTAAATTGTGAGTTTTTTTAAAAAAACAACAAGTCAATCTATATAACAATTATGTCGTAACGTGATCATGTAATCCAAGAGAATTCGGAAAAGCTCAATTTTAAATAATTTACTCATATTTTGAATTACAAGCCTTGATTTGACTGAAAATCTTTCCTATGGATTTTGACAATTTTCGAATTAACTTTTATGCGTATTTTTTTTAAATATAAATTATGAAAAAAGAATAGTTTAATTACGGCAACGTTTTGTGAAATTTGTAGGGCAGGTCCTCTATACATTATTGGAAAATATGTCCAGTCAAATTTTTATTTGATGATCACCCAAAATTTACTTTTACAATTGTAGTTTTTCAAAAAAAAAACCTTATCGCTCAAGGTTTCATGTAAAATAGATATCAATTTTAACGGCTTTCATGGCACCCACCAAAGAAATTTTTTCTAAAAAAATAAATGACCAAAATCTTGGAAATTAAACGATTATTATTGAATGTAATATATTATTTATTACTACATTTTAGAATAATATTTTCTACAAAAAAAAATTCTTTCTTTCTTTTCAAATTTAAAAAAAAAATCATAAATTTACAAAAAAATATATATGAAATGAAAGAATGATAAAAGATCTATCGGCAATTCGTAGAAGAAATTTGGGAGATAAAAATAGAGCCGACCCTTGCAAAAATTATTCTTGCAAGCACAAACCAAATTCGGAGTGTTTGGTTGAAGATGGTAAACCCATTTGCAAATGTTTAAAAGGATTTATCAATGTAGGACACAGTTGTCAAGGTATGCATATTTTTATTTTCATATTATTTCGTTAAAAAAAATATATTAACAAAAGAGAGAGGTTTATAATCTAATTTTACAGGATAACTATTTTTCTTTAAAATTTAAAACTCCTAAGCTATTTAACAGTTGATCAAGTTTATAAAATCTTTTTAATGAAATGAACTTTTCATTTATTTCATTTTAACATTAATGCCGGAAAATTCACATTGACGCTAATATAAAATAGATTCTCATAAGTTTGGCCCTAATTTTTTATTTAGCCTTTTGTCTATATAGAAATAAGCGCATTGTCCCTATCAAACAGTATTTATATCTTTCTTTATACTTTTAAATGGTTTAGGAAAGTCTAGAGGGCTCTGGAAAGTTAGTGATTTAGCAAAAGATGTTTCGATGTCTTTTATTAATGAAAATTAAAATTATATATAGTTAATTTTTATCCTGAATTATATATTTAATAATATAGTTTTTGTTGTTGAAATCATCATATTTTTTCTTATCCCCTCATTTGCCTTCGCTCTTATTTTAGACGATCTGTGTATTAATTTTATAACCTTATTTATAATCATAATGTTATGTGTGCTTGGAATGAATTGTTCTAAGATGATTTTTTTTAAATTTAGATTTCTCGATCTTAAGAAATTGAAGAGATATATTAAAATCAAATCTCTATCTCTTTATATATCTATAATGTAATGTGATCCTTCTATTTTGTTTTATCATTTTAAAGTCTCCTAAATCCATATATGTTATATTGTTATCTATCTATATTCAATTTGTTATTATTATATTTAGTAAAATATTTTTATTAATTAACATTGTTACTGTCGATTTTCTCTGTTTCAAATAAATATCAGTCTTGCAGGCCCAGACCAAAGTTCAGACAGAGTATCCAGGTTAGTCGTTGAAATTTTGAAAAACTCGGCAAGCAGATTTTCTAAAAAAAATTCCAATTATATATTTAATACTTAGTTGGAATGTTAGAAAATCAATATAATAAGAAATATTTAATATATTCATCCAATATTCGTTAAAACAATTACAAAAAATAACCGCTAAAAATTATTCAAATGACTTAATTTTAGAACATCCGGACAAAACCGTACCACAAAATAATAAAACAAAATCCCTAGCGGGTCTAAAATTGACTTTCTAACAATATAAAATTCATAACAAAAACTTTTTAAGCAATATATTTGTAACTCTCAATTTTTTGTTTAATGATTTATACCATACAATTTCTCAGATGAAAACGAGTGCGATGGGGAGAATATATGTGAACAAATTTGCGTGAATAATATTGGGTCTTTCGAATGCAAATGTTATTGGAATTATAAGCTCGTAAATGGTGAAAGGTGCAAGGGTAAATGGATATTTTTTCCCATTTTTTACAATTAATTCTGTTTGTTCTTTATTCCTTGAGTATAATTTGTTTTTTTTCTCCTTATATTTCATTTTTACGCAAATAATATTTAACCTAATTGGGAAAAAAACTATAAATAGGGGATGGGCTAGTCCTGACATGGTTTCATTTGATTAAATTTTAAAAACAGTGATGTTTAGATTTTCAAATTTTGACTGATTATAAAAATATATTGAAAACCAAATTTATGATAAAATAAAGTAAGGTTTTGTTTAATATCACTTTAAAAAATTATAAATAGGGATTAATTATTGTATAAAAGTTAAACCCCATTTTTAATATTTGGGGAGGTTTCAGAGACAGCATATAAACACGTTTAAATATATTTTTAGAAGTTTAGGATTAGTAGAATCGGGCTCCTCAGGTCAGTGCCCTCTATCACTGGGAAGGTGGGGAGGGGAGAAGGGTATTATCGAATAGGTCATAATTTACGGTTTAAATTTTAGAATACGAATAACAAATGATTAGAAATCAAAATTGGATATAAACGAATAAAAGTAAAATTTGAAGGTAAGTTTTGAAAAATTTTTGAATTTTTTGTTGATTATGAAATCGTTTACAAATATTTGTAAATTTTTGTAAAAAATTAATGCCAGGATATTTATATTTTTTTCTGATACTAGCAGCCATTTTTTTAGGAATAAAATTTTCTGTCCTTTTTGAGAAATACGATTTGGCTATTTAAGCCAAAATATGAAATCGAGGCACGTGCAAATTCCATTAGGTTTAATTTTAGGTTCCCTGAATATGCATCCACTTTAATTTCTGAAACTAAACCACAGTTCTTACAATATATTTTATCCATTTTGGGGATATTCCCTCTCGTTCTGATGGCATAATCTTACAATTTATAAATGCTTGTCTTGATAAGGTTTTTAGGAATTATACGCAAGTAGCCACTATAGTAGACAAAAAATGTTATTTTATTTCAAAAATAGTTATTTTTATTTTATGAATTATTACAATGTTTGAATTTTCTCAATTTACAATAAAAAAATATATGAAAATTATTAATTTTAAGTAAAAAAAAAACCTGGCCCATACGAATAGCAATATATAAATTATTTTTGACTCATTTGAATATGAAAATTTTTAATATATATTTTTTTAAATAAATTTTGAAAATTCTCTCAGTGTTCAAAATATTCCATAATTTGTTATATATGTATTATATAGATGGAGTTAAAAGAATACAAATATTAATTTACATTATAGAAAATTTAATAAACCTATCAATTATACAAGCTTCAGCGATGATCCCACTCACCCCGAGTTTAGGGCATCTAGGTTCTAAAAACAATTTTTAATAAAATCAATTTAGAAAAGGGATTCTAATATTGTAAGATTTTGCCAATATATATTTATTGACAATTTGTTAATTCAAATACGATCAATATATCAGGATCTATAATGATCTTGATTGATAGACTAGTCCCCATCTCCCGTTAATTGATAAAACCTTTCAAAAGTCTTGTTTAAAAACCCCATGGGATTCGAAAAAGGGAAAGATTTTATTAATACTATTGCCATACAAAAAACTAGTTTTAACTTTCTCCTTAAATTCAAATAAAATCAAAGTCACGAACAATTTAATCTCGATGAAATTACCCATTCATTTTTTTTATTGATTGTGCTTTATTCAATTTTTTTAATATTCAACTAAAGTCATTTTTGATCCATCATTTTAGTCTTAAATTGTAAATTATATATTTATAACCTAAAATTTAGAAATTCCTTTTCTCGTATGTAGTATAGTAATTGTGGTGATTTTAGTTTTCGTATTTTTACCTTCGATTTGTTGGGTGTACTGGATTATGAAAAGGAAATCAGACAGACTTTTAGGTAAAAATCATTTTTTTATCTATTGTTAGAAAAAATTGTTTATTAATATTTTAAATACTAAGAAAATATTCTTTTTTTAATGTATAACCTGTTCCATATTAAAATAATGTTTGAGCACCATTAATTTAATTTAAATAGTTTTTTGTTAGAGTATTTTTTTTAAAAAAAAGGCTAAATCAAGATTTTGGTCAAACAAATTTAACCTGAGCCTTAAGATTTGGCGAAAATATAGCAGAAAGTGTTGGGCCTTCTTTTAGCAAAATCTTGAGAATTATGTATATTATTTGTTTCAAATGTTTATTTAGTCGCTTTTTAAAAATCGAATATAGTTTTTAACAACACTAGTTGTTAGTTTTTCTATTGTTTGATCAAAACCTTATCTAGTTTGTAAATTTTCCTTATACATCTAACTAAAGTATTAATAGGGATATGGAGTCATCATAATTAATGTTAAATTTGATAAATTTGTTTGAGTGTTAAATGTATATGAATTGTTATTATTTTTACAAAACCTTTTTAAATACTTTTGATTCATTAAATAATTCCTATTTCAGGATTACCTAAATAATTCCGTATCGATCGTTTCTATTATATGAAAATTCTCATTTAGATAAAGTTTTGTTGGACCATCTATTTCAACTAAATTTTTAAAAATCATGTTTCAGTATTTAATGTAGCATTTAAACAACTCGATTTAGGCAATTTTAATTAAGATTTTAACCAAAATAATATTACGCCAGCCTCAATTGGTTAATAGAGGTATAAACCCATCTACCATCTATGAGCAAAATCTCGGCTAGGTTAATATTTTTTCACTTAAATTCGCCGTTTTTAGAAATCGATTCCTTTAACAATAAGTTGAATATATGAGCGTAAATTTGGATACTAAAAAATTTGCAGAATATCTGAAGAATTTTTGTATATCTTGCTCTATAAAGGAGGCCCCATTCAAAAAAAATAGAGAATGGTTCTCAATCATATAATATTTTTTATTTATACATAAATTCTTTGACATTCATATTAATTATTATTCTTGTATCTTTAGCTTCCTTAAACGCCGCGACAAACGAAAGTACAAGATCATTGGAAAGTTCTTGCGATGATATAGTGTCTTTACAATATGACGATAAATTGTGCTCCAAAAAACGGGAGAAAGAATACATCATAGCCATTGGGAAGGATAGGTATCCTAATGATCCTAAAGCGAAGAAAAATGGAATTATAAAAATTTTTAAAGCTTTCGCCAAATCCCCAAAAAGCGATAAAATAGAATCCGATAATTCGGAATACACATGTGAAATGGTGACCGAGTTTCAGTATGAAAATTATCTTGATTGGAAGGATACGGATATTATTAAGGAAATTTTAAAAAGACCTAAGCATTCTTCAAGAAAGAAGAAATAGTTTTTTTTTAATTTTGTGATGATTTTTATGCTAAATAAACTATTTATATAAATTGTAAAAAAAAAATACAAATATCAAACAAAAACTTCTGGAAAATCTATATTTGATAATATTAGAAATAGGTTTATATAAATTTTATGCAAATCATCTGAACCACAACTTTATTAAATCTATAAAGCATTGGAATTAATAATAAATATTAAAAAATATATTTTTTCGAAATATGTGAGGCAGCATATTTATAATTTAAACAAGAATATTATTTTTTATTTCAATTTTGCGCAATTTAATTTTATCACAAATCTTCTTGATTTTCTATAATAACTAATAGTCCCCAAAAGGTTTGCAACTTATCTACTCCTTCACATTCACGTATTTGAACCATTTCTACGCCTGATTTCTTATTCCGCATGTCGTTCCACAATATCTCTCCACCTAATCCTGCATTCACGTGGCGAAATTTACAAAATTTTGTAAACTTCGCCGCGAATTCGCGCAGGTTAGGCAGGGCCGTCAACGTCTGTCTGTGAGTTTCAAACCGAAACCTTTCTATTGATATTTTTCATTTCTCTCGATATGTGTCTACTCCATATGATTTTATTTTCTCTAATTTTTTAACTTTGGAGCTGTCATTGATCATGTGGTGCAGTATGGTTTAATTTTGGCATATCAACCTTATTTCTTAAGATTCATCTTGCGATTTTTTTTCTATAACAAATAACGCCCCATGTCCCACTCTCCTAAACAAAACAAAGTTTATTTACTTGAGCCATCCTGCTGAATACTTGTCCTGATCTCCTTTGAACAACCTCCATTTTCTGTACAATCGAATCTATGGTTTAATTTGCTACTTTCGTAAAAGTGTTATTTTTTAGAACATTAATTCAATTAAAAACTCCCTTAATACAATGAATGCATTATTATGGTAGATTGTTTGGCATGAATATGAGTTTGCTGAGAATGTCTAATCCTCTAAAATTTACATTTAAAAGGATAGTATAAAGTTTTATTGGAAAAATAATGTCTATGATTGTATGGAATATATAAATTTTGTCGATGTTTAGCAATATCATTGTATTATAATAGGTCTATAATAAAAGTATTAATTTTTACAGCAATATATTTTGCCCTAGCTTATCTAAAATTTAGTATATAACTCCCCAATAGATTTTTCCAACCCCTAGCCTAACTCTCTTAAAGACCTACCCCCCCCCTCCCCCCCCCCCCAGAAAAATAAAAACTGGAAGCAAATTATTCCTATCCACCCTCCTATCCCGCTCATGTCTCTGCTGTGTGTACATAAAAAATTAGCTTATGCATAAACGCGTATGGGCATTAAAAAGATGATGAAAAGAGCCCATACCCGTTTTAAACGAAAATTTTATTTTATTTGTATGGGTTTGGAACAGCTAAATTTATTTTTACTGAATTGACGTATTTTTAAAACCAAAGTATAATGAGTATCATTTTAATAATTAAGTAAATATATATAAATTAGTACATTTTATTGGTTAGCATATTCTTAGATTGGTATACTTTAAAGAAAATGTTAGTTATAATGATAGAAAATTTTATTGGGATTCAGATAACGTTAGAATTTCCAATTATTTATATAATTAGTTTTTGTTTTTAATAGATTTTTTTATAGATTCTGTTGTTTAATTGAGTAATTGCTTCATGGTTAAATTAAAGCTGATCACATCTCTTGTAATTTTATACAATCAACGTGATCTATAATAATCGTATTTATTCCCTTTGTATTAGTTGAGCCATAGAATGCATCATATGCTTCCTTCTGTTCATGATTTATTAATATATGGCCAAGGACTCTTATACTCCGATGTTATGTTTATTGTTGTATGCGATGATTTTTTTAAAATGTTTTTTGTTTAATATGATTTTAAAATAAATGCATCCATTAAGTTGTTTGAGGCATATTTATAAAAGTTTGATTTTTTTGTGTTTTATTTATATCCCATGTATCGCTACCATATAATAGGATTGGTATAAGTGTAGAGCTATAATTTCTAATACGTGTTTTTAATCTATATTTAATTTTCTACCAGAACAAAATATTGTTACAATTATTTAAACATATGAATTATAACTTTTAAAATTTAGTTCAACCAATATCAATTTTCTTTAATATTATCATCATTATTTATCGATGAACCCAAAGTGGGTACAATGGATATTGAAAATGGGATGGATTATTGATTATTTTTAAAGTTGGATATAAAGAACTAGTTTTTTTGATAAGAGATTGTATTTGTAGTGGTATTTTTATGCTAAATAAAAGTAAAATTAACATAGCCAACATAACTTCCATAATCAAGTTTTTATTTAATCGGGCATGGGCTTTTTATACCTCTCCTATTATTTCTCATTGGATGGGCGTTTAAGTAAGTAGCTTTGCCTCTTGATGATAAAACAATAGTGATTATGCTAGAGAAAATGATACTATCATTCAGATATTCCCAATAGGTAGTGTATTTTACCATTTTTCTTAAATTAATGTTGATGAAAGATCTGCAGTAAATTTTATTATAATAATTTATTGATCAATAATACTATTTTATAGATAATACACGCATATCAGGGTTGCCATGTCTCCCCCCCATCAGCGGGAAAATCCCGCAATTTTTTAGTTTACACGCAGACGTCTCTCTAACGCAAAACTACCGCAATTGAAAATCTCCCGCAAAAATCTACCGCAATTTTTAAATTTCTCTCGCAATTTTTTTAAAAAGTATTTTAACTTTTTTAATATATAAATAATGATTATGAGAGACATTAATTGATTATTTTTATATTTTTAAAATAAATTTTAAATATTTATTCAAAAAACATGTCTAGTTTGTAAATTTCTTTCTATCCTGTTTTATTTTTATCCAATAATAAATCAACATCATTTCATTCATATAAGTCAGTACAGGGGAGTATATCAATATGATTGCAATACAAAAATATTCTCAAAAATAATAAATAATACAGATGCAACTACATTTGCGGAAATCGTATACATCTATCATGTAGTTCAACATTCACAGAGATATATCATCACAATGTGGGTCGAATCTTTTTCTTATGATATTTAACGACTCCAATATAAGTGCAAACCTTACTTGTGGCAGAACAAAAATGAGCAAGGCTATTACAAGTGTTTTAGTACCTGAATCCTAGAGGTCAATTCTAGATGATTTGAAAGATGGGCATCCATATGCAATAGATGCATTTAATAAGGGAAATATTAAAACATTTCCCTCGATCCTTCGCTCTTTCAACAAGAAAAAGAAAATTTCAATAAAACTGTTAAAATTGTTTCCTCGAATAGTGAAAAATTCAACGATGTAGCTAGCCACATAATGGTAAATATAGCTGATTCAGGGTAATGAGTTGCATATCAGCTTTCTGCGCTGATAATGCCTGTGAATTTTTGCAAAAATCATATTTACCGAATTGAAGCAGCACAATAATGAATTAATACTAATTGGCTGTATATGCCATATGCTACATAATTCTTGCAAAAGGCAATGAATGTACTATCTGTGGATGTCGAAATTATTGTGATGAAATGTTTTAACGAATTTAGTTCATCAACTAAAAGAGTTAATGAATTAAAAGAATTGGTGAAGTGGTCTGACTTGGAATAGTGTGAGTTGTTTGCGATATATACCAATCAGGTGGTTGTCATTAATACCTGCCATCGATAGAATTTTAAAATTTTACAAACCCTTAAAAAATACTTTTTAAATAAAGATTTTAAAAGCTGTCCTAAAATTTTTAAAAATTTTTTCGAGTATGAAATAGCAGAAGCTTATTTGGTTCATTTCACATGTAGGAAATCTACTTCATGCAGTTAATATTCAGTTGCAATCAGAATATTCTTTATTTAAAAAGATTCACAAAATCATGCTACAGCTCTGTTCATCTCTACAGTTAAAAATTAATAAATTTTATGGCGCTATTGCTAAAAATATTATATTAAATGTTCAAATAACACTCTAATTAATACATTTTTAAATGAAGCAATTTTTATTGACAATTTTATAATTTTTACAATCAAAATATGATTTTAATAATTCTATTTACAAATGTATAAATATTATGACCTTGGAACAGAAACCATTAATTGATGGTTTTTATAATTTAATAAATTAAAAAATTCTGAAAGACATTGATGCCTTGTTTGAGGAGATTGTATTTCTCTTTATTTTTTATGATTCGCCAAAATACTTAAAATTAGATGGTCTAAAAGCAGAGGAGAAATAGGTAGAATTTTTTCGTAATAATGATAAATCCCCATTTGGAAAAAATATGTGATTATGTCTTCTCCTTACCTCATTCTAATGCCTCATTTTAGCGCATTTTTAGCCTGATGAGGACTGCCTGGAAAAATGAGAGAAATCGGATTGCTATAACAACATTAGAGGCCGAGCTAATGGTTAAACAAATATATAATATGTCATGCCGGGAATTTTATAAATATCTCAATAACGACAAACATTTAGTTCTATTATTTAAATCTCAAATAAAATATAATTAAGTTTTAGCAATGGCGCCATAAAATTTATTGTCATTTTTTTACTGCAAAGATGAGCACATCTGTAGCATAATTTTGTGAATCTTTGTTAAGATTCTTCTGATTGCAACTACACATTAACAGCATGTAGTAGATTTCCTACATGTAAAATCATTCCTATATATACCTTTGCCATTCATTATTGAAAAAATTTTTAAAAATGTTAGGACAGCTTTTATAGTCTTTATTTAAGAAATATTTTTTTTAAGGTTTATAAAATTTTTAAATTCTATCGATGGCGGGTATTAGGAACATAACCAACATTGTGCTGACTCAATTCTGTAAATACAATCTGTTTTTACAAATTCACTAAGGCATTATCAGATCAGAAAGCTGACATGCAATTTATTGATAATCTCAAATCTGCTATATTTACCATTATATGGTTAGCTATGTCTTTGGATTTTTCACTATTTGAGGGGAAAAAATTTAATAGTTTTATTGAAAAGACCTTAATTTTGTTGAAATAGCTGAATATTTCCCTTATTATGCATAGAATTGCATATGTATGCCCATCTTTCAAATCGTCAAGAATTGACCTCCTGGATTTAGGTCCTAAAACATTGATGATAGCCTTGCTCATTTTTGTTCTACAAGTATAGTTTTCATAGAGTCGTTAAATATTATGGGAAAAAGATTCTACCAACATTGTGATGATAAGTATCTCTGTGAATGTTGCACTACAAGATTGATTAAAATTGCTGCAACTGTAGTTACATATGTATTATTTCTTATTTTTGGAGTACCTTATTATGTATTTAAACGTGATACGTGATAATTAAGCGCATATCCCTATAATATTATACACACACGGTAGATTTCCCATTGCGGCCGTTTTGCGGGACATTCACTTAAAATTTATTTTAATTGTAAAATTAAAATCGTTTTTTTATAAAATTTTATCTTGTTTACATTCTTTTATAAAAGATCGTTGGTTTTTTTATAAATTAATATATTCTAATAAATCAAGACGTATTTTATTTTGAAAAATAGTTACCAACTTTGTATTTATATAAACTAATTATAAAAATAATAAGCGGATAATTAAGTCAATTAAAAATCCCAAATTTTTTTTTAGCAATTTTTATATTTCTACCGTAATTTTCATATTTCTCCCGCATAATATGAAATTTCTCCCGCAATTTGAAAATTTTGACCTGGCAACCCTGCTCAGAAGTACAAAATTTGCTATCTGGTCATCCTATATTTTAAAAATATGTATATAATTAATTTAGAAACTTTACCCTGCTATTTTACAAATAAGGTAGAATGTTGATTGTGAATATAGCAAGATTTTTAACATCAATAAAAGGTTCATTCATATAATGTGATAATAAACAAGCTAAGAATTGTAAATAATATTTTCATATGAGGAGTATTAAATATTTACGATATACCACTTATGGATGCATTTTTAACTCAAATTAGAGAACGCTTATAGAATCGTCATCTGCTGCTCAATGTGAGCATCTCGGATGAGATTAGAAATAAAATTCTATTTCTATACATTTTATTTGCAAGATATAGTAGCCAGATAATGGAAGTAATTTGAATTTAAATATTGGTATGGTATGCAAGATTAATAAGGATGGACATTAAGCCTTAGAATGCATTAAGTGCACTCAATGTTTGTAAACATTATTAATAAACTTTTCTAAACATTACAAAATTATTTCAAATTTTTGCATGCCTCTTTATTATGACATGTACTAATGAAAGAATTTTCTCAAATTTACCAAGGTTAAAAACATATTTGCGAAATACTACCTAGCAAAATAAATAAATGACTTAACGCTCATAAATATTCATCTGAAACAAATAATTCATTATCAAAATCTAAAAGAAAATTAGATATAACATTATAAATTATTATCACTTTTTATATTAGTGTATATAATGTAATTTATTATGTTTTATATAAACTAATAAATATATCTCCTACATGCTCCAGACTTATTTTTTGATATAATCTCTAACAGTTTCGTATATTTTAATAAAGATTATTGTCATGGCTGTGATTGTTAATTGACATTTTACATAACAATGTATATAATTATTTATAAAATAAGTACAGCGATGACGATTATATTTTTTTTTATTAAAATTAACCTCTATTTTGTAAAAATATTTTATAACTATATATAGACTAAGGAAACCCGGCCAAAGCCCTACCCCCGAAATAAAGTCTGAGAGCGAAGCCGACAAAAATTTATTAAACCCCCCCCCCCCATCTTAGGAAAATCTTGGCTACGCCTATGGAGATTATTGTCCTTAAGGTTATTACATGAAACAAAGGCTTAAATCGAGAATATAGATATAATCACAAATAAAAATCTGATAATTCTGATTAATTTGACTTTGCAAACCCTTGAATATTTGCCTCTTTGTCAAACAATTTTTCAATTATATTATTTATTTGCACTAATAATCAAAATTTTTTGTTAATAAAAAAAATTTCGAAAGGCGCCAGTTTTTTTATATAATCTTGAAGCCTAATGAATTCTTTATCCAAATATTTAACTGACTAGTTCCCTCCTGACAAAGGCTTTATGCTGGCTTGATAATGTTTTGGTTCGAAAGTAAACGGCCGCTAATTCAAAATTAATAATTTTTCAATATAGTTCTATTTATCAACCAAGTTACAATGTAACCATTTATTCATGTTCGTTCCAATTGGAAAGTCAAAACATAATTGGGAAGATTATTCCTTGTTATTTGTATAAATAACTTACAATTGAAATATTTTAATAACTATTTTTAGCCATCAATATGTGTTGGGAATGTGGGCCAATTGACTATTGATTTAATCATATATTCATTAAAAGCAGTGAAAATTGGCTATTTCTATCATGACAGTTTGCTTGCATTAGTTGGAAATGATCCATATTCTGAATACAATGAACATGCAGGAAAATTAATGTTAAGCTCTGAAAGTGATTTTAATTATATATAATACTAATTGATGAACAGTTTATGAAGATAAAATCAACAAATATATTATAATTCAACAAAGATCCCCATTTTCTAAGGTAAAAAGTTGTTATTACTTTTATTGATTAAATGTATTTAGGGTAGAAGAGGCACTTTTAGAAAATTTTTAATATCATGGATAAAGCAATACAAATTTAGCAAAATTATAAATCTTTCAGCTACATTTTCCTATATAAGAAATGATCAACAATTGAAAAGGTATAAAAATTTGACAAATAGAAATTTTTATTATCTATTTCAGCATCCCTTTAAGATTTTTATGTTCATCTCAGATTGAAGATAAATATTATAGATATTTGACTGACAATTTAAAATGGATACACCTAGAAGAAAGTGATAATAATGATACACAGGTAAGTGAACAAGGCATAAAGACACCAGATAAACAAAGTATAGGAACTAATTTCATATTTATTATAATTATATATAACAATATTTTAAGATATTATGAGGGAAGAAATTATAAATGATGGTTTTGAAGATTTATCAATAGATACTAATCAACAAAAATTATTTACTAATTTAGTGAAATCAATTGATCTTTCCAACAATAAATCTGATAATGATTTTGTTGCATTAACAACGATCAAATATACAATACAGGGAGGTGGCATATCTCAAAAATTATTTCAAGACTGGTAAAAATTAATTTTAATTGACTTAGAATTGGATTTTATATTAGAGGTTAGCTTTGCCCAAAACAGCCTATAGAAATTTTTGAAAAGGATAATTTTATACAAGTTAATTGGCCTGGTCTATGTTAATTTTTTATAATGAAAGGAGACATAAATATGCCTAATTATGTTAAAAAATTGGCAAAATTCTGGTAGACCTTAAAAATATTTTAATCTTTTTGCTTAATCTGTGCCTATTAAGGACTTGCAAATTTTTAACCTGCCTACAATCTAACAGAGAAAAAAATTTAGACTTACTTAGGCCCAACCAAACTTTTAAAAAGTTATAGGGAAGAGAAATCTCAAACTTAAAGTATTTATTTTATTTGCTAATGCATTAAATTTAAATATTCAGCAATAACGTTAATAATTTAGATGATTATCTATTTTATTCTACCCATTTATTTCAAAATATCATATGAAAATGAAATAGTCAATATTTCTTCCTTCTAATTTTTCATAAAACTTTTCTTATTTTTATTAAATTAATTTTATAATTGTGATATTCAACTAAAGATATATTTTTTGGGTCAGTCAAAGGCCAGATCAATATTTTATTCATGATTTTACTGTAGGTTGGGCCGATTTTCCAGCTCTGCAATCTAACCTCTATTAAGCATATCACTTTTTTATTAACATAAAAAATATAGTGTACATGAGCATTTATACCTAATGTTTAAATTTTTGGTTATTAGCTGCAAAGAAGATATACCTATATTAATACTCTTGAAATTTTGTGATGAGGGTGACAATACAGATGATGCAATACAGTTGGCCAATTATTTTAATCAGCTGGCTAATTTGGTAATTTTTATCTATTTAATTTTTGAATACATTACCTATATTGGTATTAGATCAGGTCAATATTAAACTTTTTTTTAAAAAATATAGAATTAGCCAATATTTTTTAAAAATTAAACCAACACCGATATTTGATTTCATTAAAAAAGAAACTTATAGTAAATAAATAAATTTGAGGCTCTTATCATTATAAATAAAAATATCCAATATTATAATCTTAATTTTTAATAATTATTTTAACATTATTTTATTAATTAATATTAATTTTACTTCTATTTTTTAAAGATTAATTTATTTACATAACATTAATAAATATATATATATAAGGTGTTAGCATAAAAATTTATGCCTATTTCTATTAAGGCTAAAATAGATAAGTGAAAATTCTCATTAATATGGAAATGTATATATTATTCTTCTAAGAGCTATAACTTTATAAAATAAGACATTATTTACTTACCTAAAAATTTATTTACAGATAAGACATTTTTTTAGAATTTTAAGAGTGGGATAAGTTATTTTATTAAAAAATTTATATTCTTATATTCATTATTCTTCATATTATATAAAACAATGCCAAAAAATTAATGTATCTATTCATTTGGGATAGACATCAGATCGTATTGGTTAAAAAATTGTCAATCAGTGCACCTCTATTCTCAACCCATTTCCTTAAATTCTGATAAAAATAATATAAATATTATGGGTTTAAAAATGAAATTACATTCGCTTTTAAATTATCTGAGATATTTGGGGGTAACAGTGAAAAATTAGTCATTTTTTTTATCTCTTTTGGGTATTAAATAAGTTGTTTTTATTAAAAACTAAATAATTTGAATATTAAATTATATATTTATCATATATGTGCGACACAAAACTTATGTTATTCCTTGCCAATATTAGTCCACTTTAGTATTTGCAGAGGTCTGGTCTTTTATTCTAAGACAGGACTGGATCGTCGGACCGTTAAGTCTGGTGAAACCAGACCATCAGCCCAGTTCGGTCATGTCCCATCGAATTTAAGCTAAGCATGATAACAGTTAACATTTCTATATACGGATTTCATCAAGGCGATTAGAAAGGGCTGTGCCGAATTACATATTTTTCACCGATCCGATATATATATTGATTTTTCATCACCCCCCTTTGAAACGAATGTAATTAAGAAATTAATATTTTTTATGCAAAAAATCGAATTATGCATTTAATTTAATTTTTTTTATTTCTACAATAATTTTAAAAAAGTTTACCGATATTGGTAGTATTAAATGATTTTTTCATTATTCCTCCCCCTGAAATTAGAATTCCGCAGATAACGCATTTTGCGAAATTATCTTTGTCTTTTGTTAAATATTACCATAATTCAGATACCATATTTAAAAAAATATATTTATTTAAAGTATAAATAATAAAATTGGCTTTACTATCTAAAAAATTTAAAATAAATAAAACTTTGGGTGTTCCTTTCTATTTTTATAAAAAAATTTTTTAAAATACTATAAATCTATTTTAAAAAATAAATAACATTTAAGGGGTTGTGTATTTGCATTGTTTAAAAAAATTTATTTAGAAAATATTATTAATGTAAAATAAATATACATAAAATAACAAAAAAAAGTAAAGTAAAAAGATCGGATCGGGTTTTTACAGATATTGGCCCGATCTGATATTTTGGGAAACGCTAAATATCGGTGCCGATCCGATCCGATATTTAATATCGGCATCGGCACAGCCCTATTAGAAATACATTTTTTAATCTTTATCATAATCGGGTAAAGGCCAAGAAGGATTTGACACTAGGCTACCTAACAAAACTAGCTTGCTCTCATAAACATAATTAATGTGATACCTTATCAATTATATTAAATACATAATAAATTTATGATAAAATACAAAAAAAACCTATGGATTCCAAAACAAAATATATTTTAAATTTAAAAAATAAAATTATCTAAATAAATTAAATCTTCATTCCCTTATCTTAATTGATAAAAATGAAAGAGAACAAGAAATTTAATATTATAATAGTAAAAATTAAAGGAAACAACTTGCAATTAGAGAGTATTGGAAAACGAGATTTATATTTATCTTGGAAAGAAATTATATAACTTAATTTTTAATTCCACAATTTATTTTATTTTCTCTTAAACAAAAAAAACATGATTATCATAATATATATATTTTTCACCCCACATCTATTATTTTATATAAATATAATAATTCACATTATACAACATGCCCCCTTTCCTTTAGACGAAATCCGGGGTAACATAAGACAATTTACAATCATCACAATTAATGCTGTCTATTGGTACCAGTTATCAGACGTTTGTGTTTGATCTTTTTCTTGTTTTTGTTGAATTATTGGATGTATGTGTTTAATTTCTCGTTGTTGTTTCTGGTTATCGTACGCATAAATTTGGGGTTTTCGTTGGGTATCATAAACATGATTTTTGTTGTATAATATTTTTAATTTATTATGTATTTTTCTTAAATACTGCATAATATACATATTTTTAACTTATTAATTCTGATTAAATACATTTTATCTTTCTCTTCTCCTTTTTATCCAATTTTAGATTTTTTTTATATATATACTCATTAATTTTATAATTTTTTAATCATTAATATTTTCTTCGATTAACATTTCTTGTTTTTTCTATCTTGATACAGTTGTGCTTTTATTCTTTTCGATTATTAAATTCTTTTCGATTCACAAACTTCTTCCCGCTCTATAATTAATATCGTCTTTCTACAGTACGGAATACCCTCGAAATATATCACTGGTCTTTCCATTCCCCCTAACCAATGTAACAGAGCTCACACTACTTTGTTAGACTTATGTTGGTCTCCGCATATTCGCAATTCTTATCTAATTATTTCACTTTTTCCATTTTTATGACCTAAATATGTATTTTTATTTTTTGTGACCCCCATGACGCTTTTCTCGCGACTGGCTCGTATTCCCTTATTTTCAATTCTTTTACTTCCTCCAGCGGATTATGTTGCTCAGCAGTTATGGTCTACATAATAAAATACTACTTCTAACCCTTGAAAGACTGCAGCTATTATACGCCTAAAAATAGGTGCTGAAAATCCAAACGGTAACGGCAAACACGAATAATCAATTTTAGAAAAATATTTTGTTTCTTTTAAGTTTGCCAAAATTTCTTCAATTCATGTGTATTTTCCCTCTACCACCCACGGATTATGAGCTACTCTAAAATGCGCGCAAATTCTCAATTTTCCATTGGCTTTCCTTACCGGAACCAATTGGGTTGTTCATTCACTATACACCATAACAAATGATCTTATCGCGCACCCAGTTATCTAGTTATTTTCCATTTCTGCTCTCCATTTAAATGGCATTCCACAATTTTTTGGTATATTTATATATCCCACTTATTCGTCTAAAATTTTTGCATACTTATCTTTCATTTTACTTTTTTCCAAATCCTGGTTTTTGTTTTTTATTTCTCACATTCTTTTCCACTATTTTTTTTCTAACCAATTTCGCCGGGAAATTTTATGACTCAAGGTTGCCCCTAACAATTTAATATTTTTTTATATTCGGTTTCATAATATTGATTTCCAGCTCTGATCTCCCTATCATATTTCACTTGCTAAAACCTTATCTTCACTATTAATCTCAACGCTCTAGGATTTTATCAATTTCTTTGACTTGATTTAACTTATTTTCTTTACAATTATTATTCAAGATTTTAGGTGATTCTTGATTTGTCTCAAAATTTATGATCTTTATTTATCCGGAATTTCCGAAATATTGCTTACTATATTTCCAATTATAATACTTCCTGGAACTCTATTTTTAATAGTTTCTTGTTTTTTATTGAAAAATATCTAATTTTGTCCTTACAATATTCCAGAAATTATTATCTGGTCTAATTTTTAGTATCCAATTCTATCCCATAATTGTATTAATTTTTTCTTCCATCATACAGAAATACAAAAAGTGTATTGCCTCTTTTAGCACTGGTAAATTTACCCTTAATATCGCAATTTCAAACCTATTCAATTGTTTTACCGTTATTTTATCTTATATATTTATTTGGCCACAATTTATAAAATTCCTCATACGCCATAACTGATATAGTAGGTCCTATATCGGTTTGAATACTGTCACGACACCATTATTGAAAACCTTATTAAAATTATTATTTAAAACCCTATCAAAATTATTATTGAAAACCCTATCAAAATTATTATTGAAAACTTTAACAAAATTATTATCGATAACTTTTATTTTTAAAAATTACAATACAAAAAAATTAATGATTATAATCAGGACGTAACAAAGGCATTTGTGCGTTCTAGTTCCGGTCAAGTTAAATTGTTCCGTTACACATTCGGAACGTTACTAGGAAAATATCTAAATATATTTTTTTTAAATCTACACATTTTAATAAATCATTAAATGAATCAATTATTACATCGAAGCACTAATATATTTTCTAAAATTTATTATTTACTGATTCTTTGGTTGTTAATATAAATTTGAGTGCCGAAAAACAACGTTCAACACTTATCTGGCTACAAGGATGCTAATACGATCTGGGCCAATTCATACAGGAGAGAATTTTTATTTTATTGGATTCCCAGTATTCCAAATTTTTTAATTTATCTAGACAATCCGCTCGAAATTTTTTTTTAGTCGATATAATATCATCCTTTAGTAAGTTTTGCTATGTTTTTCTATTTAATCCTTGGACTTAAGAAACATTCTTCATCATATTCTTGTCCTTCAGAAGATTTATCCGAATTACTTAATACATTTAAATCTTCATCCTTAAAATTTTTAATATGTTCACATGTCGCCAATAGATGATTTATAACTATAATATTTTCCTATTCATTCAAAAGAAATTTAAATAAGGATATAGATATATGGCAGTAATTAATTCATCAGAATTTTTTCCCTTTTGTTGCAAGCTGAAATCAAGTCTTTGGATAACAGGTAATTAATTTTTTGAAGCCTTATTTTACATTTGGTCCATTGACCTATAAAATCACCTGGAAAGTTTTATCTTTTTGGAACATTAAGCTTGTTTCCTTTAACAACTCTAATGAGGCCACCATTTTACTATAGTTTTTCATTCTTCATTGGAAGAGAAAATTCGAGGGTGTACCATTAAAACGAACTTAATATATGCACCTGATTATAGAAGAGATAATAAATTTATATAAAATTTTAGAAACGTTCTGGGACTGTTCCACTTCCGTTCAATAAATTTATTAAAGTTTCATTCCATGTCCCTGATTATAATATGTTTTTTATGGCGATAGTATAATTTGTTTTTTTACACAACTTTGCATGATAAAAATAATAATTAACAAATAAATACATACATAACAGAGACTAGTAGAATACAGCAGTAATTTCAGCTTAAATATCCTTTTAAATACTTAGTAGTTTAATGGTCTATTATTATTTTAAATATTGATAAATGATATATTATAAAGTGTTAGGTATTAAACTAATCATGTTTTACATATACATCAATTAAAAAGTAAATTATAGTGAACTTGTATCTGCTTTTAATCAATCTTTGATTGGATTAGAACTAAGTATAAGATGGTTATTCAGATGGAACTGGGTGCAATTTTTATTTTATATATGATAAAATAATTTGAAAAAAGTTGCCTTTCTATGCTTTTATTCTTTCTTAGATTTATAATTTTTTAAATAATTACGATTACTTTTTATTCTTTCTATTAAAAATGAACATTTTTATTATATCTATAATCTGAATGACAATCTAAAAAAAAGAAACTAAGTACAATCTGAAAAAATATAAAAATCTCAAATAATATTTTTATCTTTATAATAATTTATGGGGAAAAAATCAATATCACAATCTTAATTTGTAAATTTTGAGGTAAAAAGAATAACACTTTATAATATTTTTTTTAAATATAAAAATTTTGAATTAAAATATGGTGTTGTTAAACCACTTTTGATCTGAGCCCATTTTTAAAAATGGTTAACTCAATATTTTATTTTGAAAATTTTACACTAGCCTGAAGATTTTGCTCATAGGTGGTGCTGCAAAGGTTTGGACATTTATTAGCTAATATCTCAGGCATAGTCAACATTTTGCTTGCTAAAATATAGTTAACCATTTTTTAAATTGGCTCAAAATGGACCATTTCTACAAGATATGATTAAATTATTTTTTATGTTACCTTAGTAATCTTATATATAAGATAATGATGGTGTTGGCAAAAAAAATAGTATCAGTGAATCCCATATTTATTATTAAGTCAATTATTGCATAAAAATCACTAAATATTTTCTCAAGAAAAATTTTAAAATTTTGAGGAAAATTTAATCAAAATTGTGTGAACAGGTCTTTTTAAAATATTCATTTTCTAATAAAGATTTTTTACTTTGAGGAGTTGTGAAAACCCTGTTTAAACTAATAAACATTTTATAATTTTTTTTATTTGCAGAATTTCATATTAAAAATCATTATTTACATAATATCGAAACTAGAAATTTCCATCAAATGACATATGTTATCAAAATCTAACCAACAAGGGACATATCTGGGCTATTCCACCTTCATGGAAGCTATTTTTTGGCAATACAAATCCTCCAAATTTTATTTATTGATTTTATTTGCAATTTTTTTTTAAATTCAGTATAATTATTATGTTCATAATTTATATATGTTGTAAATTAAACTATAATATACAGCAATCGAAGAGGTCAAATATATTTGAGATATTTCAAAAAATAAATTTATGATCAATCATGTGTATTGTCTATATTTTATTTTTATGTAAAGCTTTTACTTAATGAGAAAAATGCTATGATTTATTTGAGATATACATTCCAAGATTTTCTGATATCTAAAATTTTATCTAAATCCTTTGTATAATCATCATTTTTTTGCTCTTTGAGATTTGATAAAATTTGATTTGTTATAACATTTATTGCAATATGGGTTGAGCTTCTGCTATTACTCAACAATTTTTTATCAGGTTTGGTCTTTTTTGGCAACTTTATCTGACACTTTACATTGGTGGTTTTGTTTATCTAAAGATTATAAACTTTATAAGATCATTTCAAAGATAACAAGGTCTTAAAAAACTAAATATAAAAGAAAGCATTTTATTATAATTCAAATAATTAATATAGAAACCTTGTGTTTTCTTAATTCTAATATCTTTTGCTTCTCGAGTTGAAATCCATTAAGTTTATTTGTTAGTTCATTGTCAATATCATTCATTTTTTGCTGATTAACACAGAAACCCTGACTATATTCACATGTTCCATTAATTTTTTTATACCTTAAACATTTTAATTCATTAATTTTTCCTATTACATCTTTCAAATATTGGATATCTTTACATTTATTTTTAATGACATTTAAGACAAAATTTGTTTCATGTTTTAATATTTTATTTTCAATTTTATTTTGGTAATCTTCTTGCTTTTTCACCAACTCTTTATCAATTAATTTGTGGAGATTATTGGTTTTTTCAATTTTCAAATTATCTAGCTTTTCAAAATCTGGTAAAATGTTCATCTTCTTATTTTTTAATCTATTTCTTTTGTTTTTTCTCATCAATAACTTTATTTTAATCCTTTTTAATGTAGATTTATCTGTTATGATTTTGATAACATCTTCACATTCATTCTTTTGGGCATTAAAATTTTGCTCAATTTCTTTGCATAGCTCAAAATTGTTCTCATATGATTTCAATAAGGATTTAGTATTTAATGATCTATTTAAATCTTCAATTTGAAGCAATATATTGTTTAACTTTTGTATACTTTTTTTATATTCAGATATACTAAGATTATTTTCCCTAGTCATTGGTAACACATTTGACTCTTGTCTATCATGCCATTTTTCAAGCCAAATTTTAATTTCATCTATACCTTGTAGAGAAGAATTTAATGAGGGTTGATTTTGACATGAAACTTCTTGCAGGAAGGAAAAATGGAAGGGAGGTGGAAATAAATATGGTTGATAAGGTATATAATTAGAATTAAATGAATTATTCTGAGGCAGTATATTTGGTGAAATTAATGGTTGTGCTTGGTTAATAAAAAGAGGTAATTGATAATAGTGTGGATTCATAATTTTTTCCTCTAGATTTATATATCATATGCAATAAATGTATGAATGCTATTGTTGCTTTCTAGATCTCGAAACATTAATAATAGGTACTTCAGGCAATCATCATCAATGCAAAATTATAATCAAGTTTAAAAGTATTTTGATTTTCTTTTCTAAGATATACTTTTTAAAAATCTTCTGTTTAAATTATTTATGATTGGTTTAATTTAGAATTTATAATAATCAAGTTAAGATTTCTAAACTGATGAATATTAATAATTATTAAGATTTTATGGATATGGGGATGGACAGAGGTATTAAAGATCGAATCAAAAGAACGCCAATCCTGGATTCGATCCTAAATTTGTAAATTTTTCCGGATTTATGTTACTGACTTAAATTGAGGATCGTGATCGAGATCATTTTTTTTATATTCGATCCCGATCCTTTTAAAAATTAATTTTATACTTAAAAAGCAATAATTAAAATAAAAATATAATTTTTTTAAAGAAATATCTATTTACATCATATTTTATCAACTTCCATTCCACCGTATTTTATATTTCAACATCAACTTCCATTCCACCATAATTTATATTTCAACAATTTCCTAAATTTTATCTAGAACTCGATTTAGAGCCTACAAGTTTTATTTATTTAATTATGTTATATATAATATAAATAAATTAGGGGTTTAATAATGACCTCCATTATAGAGAAGGTAATATATCTGCTAATGATGTGACAGCAGATATAAGTGATAATGAGAATCTTTTACTATTTCATAATTTACGTAAGTATTTTACTTTATGTGAAATAGATGGAAGTAACTATACTATGATCAGTGCAAAATGCTCTTTATGTAAGAACAAAATATCTTCTTCAAAGATTAGTAGTTTAAACCTCAAAAGGCATTTAGAAGTACTTCTTTTTAAAATACAGTTTTCATTAAAAAAATATTTATTGATGTGTTAATAATGGCTAAGTTTTGCAGATACTTGATTTATATAAACGAACACTTATTTATTAATAAATAAATTATCATTTCTTACTATAGATTTCCTTTATTGTATGAAGACAGTAACATTGGCAGCAATATTTCACTCAAAATTTAAGTTAAATTAGCCTTATAATTGCCATAAAATCTGTTGGTAAAAAAAAGATTAATTGCTTATTTGGAAAATATGCAGGATCAACCATATGCAGATGCTTCAAATTAATGTATGAATGAAATAGATACCTTTTTGGGGAAAAATTCTTCACAAAATGCTCGTTCCATTTATTAATTATTTCCACAATTTATGTAATATTTTTAATAAAATATTATTTGTAATTGTTATATAATTAAGAATATTAATATTATTTGTAATTGTTATATAATTAAGAATATTAATATTAATAGATAAATTTGGGAATATTTATAAATATTTAGAACTGAAGAATATTTTTAATTTTCTATAGCATGTAATTCATTGTATTGCGCGTCATTATAAATACTTATTGTTGATTTTGAAAATACCAAGCGATACGCACTAACTATAAACGAGGCCTAATTTATTTTTAATTTTGGACCTAGTTAATACTTTTTGGTTGTATATCAATTATTTTTTTTTAAAAAAGAGGTTATTATTCGCGAGTTTTATAAATGATTTAATTTCCAAAAATTCTAAATATTTGTATAAATTTGCATGGATCAATAAATGCATGAAATCCCTTATAATTTATTATGGAAAGTGGCCTACAATTGCAAGTCACATATTATATAAAAAATATTTTATAAGCGCCAATCAGATGGATATTAAATATATATTTATCCCCAATTTTATTTTTCATGAAGATCATCGCCTCACTAAATATTTATTTGGTCATAAAAAATTTTTTTAGAAAAAATGATCTATTGTTATTTAAAAAGATTTAAATTGTAAGTGATGTGTAAATGTAATAGTGACAATGTGTTTTTTTAGTTAATTTGTTATCTTCAATTTTATATCATTTTTGGGTGCGTTTTTAAAATTATAAATATCTGCTTTTACCGGAAATATATTCCAACATATTTAAAATACCTAACCTATGAATTTTATACAATTTGATTTGTATATTTTAGACATTTAAAGTTTGCATTAAAAAGCTAATATAAATTATGGTAAGGTCAAATGTTCATGGGATGCTGAAAATCGCAAAGTAGATTTTATACATATGCTAGAATATATTTTCAGAAAAATTTCAACGTAAAAATTTAAAAATAACGCCTTCAAGATATGATTAAAAGTTAAAAAATGGCACATTAAATGTGTAAAAATTTACAAAATGATAAACGAGCCTAAAAATAAATATGAAATTATTCCTATATTAATACAATTACTGGGTTTATCTTCATAAACTAATATACTGGGCAGGCCGACAATTCAATTTTCTACCGAAAACCCATAAAACAATTTTCTAAAACAATTTCTCAAACTTTTTAAAAGGACTTCAGCAGCTGACTTAACTATTCATAGAATTTTTTTATTTTGATTATCACTAGCTGCCACATTTCTAAATCAATAAAATTGAAAAGTATGCCAATATTGATAGTTCATCCAAAAATCATTTCCTATTGATATTGAAATTAATAACTGTGAAAAATTAGAGCAAAAAAAGTGGTATAGATAAAACTTTGCATAAAAAAATTAATCAATTCGATAATTATGTATTTAAGGCTAACTGCTTTATTAATAGTATAATGAGATATAATGGGAAGGTTCGGATCTCTACTTGTCTGTAGTTAAACATTGCCAAGTTTAACATACTGCAATTTGCAAATAACGCCCAAAATATAATTAAAATGTAATAAGACTTATTTTTCAGTTCATATCTAACGTGTAGATATCCCGAAAAACAAAAATGCTTACGTTAGCTTTAAAAAAAGCCTGTTTCAGCTGAGATCAAATCCAGGTCGAATCTCATAGTGATTCCTCAATCAGAATTTGAGCCACAATCGCCCTCGAAGAACGATGATTTTATATATATATTAGAACCATATATGGCAGAAACAAAAAAAATACAAAATACTCGTTTAACATTACCTTAGATCTATTTAACATAAACCTATTTTCTCTAAATTTTATCGTTTTATATAAATATAACTGAAGTTTAAAAAATATATTTTACAAAATAAATTGCCAGTTAATTTCTTTACAAAACAGTATTTTTTATAGTTTGAAATAATAATCTTCTTTTCCATATCATTTCCATCATTGGTATAAACTCTATATGGTAGATTGGGAACTGAGTTATCAATTGGGATTTTCCTTACAATTAAATATAAATTGATTTTAAAATTTTTATTTGATTACCAAAACAGTAAAGCATTTGATTACTCCAATTTTTTTTTCTCATTATATAAATATTTTTTGGCTCATATAATAAATATTATAATTTAAATGAGCAAAACGTCAAAGAAGAGCTATTATTCGCAAAAAATCAGGTAACGGTGTTAATGTTGAAAACAAGAACTTATGGTAACAGGTTACCTTTTACGTTACTTGTATCTTCATATTTTATAATCATTTAATATTTAAGCTTAATTTATATGACCTCTAATTCCTTGTTTCCTTTAATACGTCTAATTTAATTATTTCTTACATATAATATTTACCTCGGAACTTTTGAGTTTATGAACTAATAATTCCTTTTCTTTCCTTAAAGCATTGATTTGCTCCTCTGTTTTCGGCCCCATCGTTGTCCCAAGCAGCGCAATCATGGCATCTTTTTCGCTAATTCCACTTTTGTATACTTCTTTCCTGGATAAACGGTTTTCATTTTTTTTTAAAAATGATTGAAAAAAGTGATTGAACCTTCTGGAATAAAATACCGGCAAATTCAATTTTTAAAATCTTAAAGATTCCAATCAAAATATCCTACTACATATATTTAGATAATTTATATTTTTTTAAACTTTTGCCCTCCTTCCCCCAAATTAATTTAAGAAAATCCTCATTATTATATTACTAAAAATCGGTATTGTATATACTTTGAATCGATGAGTTCATGCATAATTTTATTGCGTTCAGCTATAAGCGATTTCAAGTTTGTGTCCTTTTCCTTGTACTTCAAAAAAATTTCGTTTATCTTGGCTGTCTGCTGGTCGGTCATTCTCTCCAACTGATCGTTCTTTTCTCTTAAATCGGCTATCTGAAGATAATTAATAATCATTGGGACTTTATTCGTACCTCCAAGTAATATATATTTTTTATTATTTACAGTACAGCTTCATAATTATTCTCATAACACAGGAATGTCATTAAATTTTACAAAAACATATGTTAACTTTTAAATTGCAAAATGATATTTGACCATTTTAGTAAATATGTATGACAACCTCTTAAAAATGTCAAAAGGGATGTCCTTTTATTTAAAATAAAAAAAACTATTAATTATTTTGTATTTATAAAAACCCAACACTTATTTTATATATTAAGGTATGTTATAATTTTAAAACAAAATGAGAAAAAACTCAAATAAGTAACGATGCTGAAAGAATAATAATTGAGTACTTATATTTTTTAAAGCTTATAATTAATATGTTAAATAGATATTTTGACATACCCATTGATATATAACTTAGAAAACAAAATAACTTAGAAGACAAAATAAGAAAGACAAAATAAGAAAAACAAAATAAGAAAGACCAAATAAGAAAGACAAAATAAGAAAGACAAAATAAGAAAGACGAAATAAGAAAGACAAAATAAGAAAGACAAAATAAGAAAGAAAAAACAAGAAAGACAAAATAAGAAAGACAAAATAAGAAAGACATAATAACTTAAAAGCAAAATAACTTGAAAGCAAAATAACTTAAAAGAAATAACTTTGAAAACAAAATAACTTAGAAAACAAAACAGAATATCTTAAACATTAAATAATTAAACTTTAGCATCCGCGGTTTCCATTTCTTTGTTAGACTTAATTTCGACGGCCTCTTGGGTTTCCGAGGTTATTTGCTGGGCTCTCCTCAATTCTTCTTCCATCTCTTTCATTTTCGTCATATTTTTGAGGGATTTTCCCTTGGAAATAATATGAAATTAATTAACGAATAACATCCTTTTCTTTTAAAAGAATTGGAAATTGCAAATCTATAAATGGAAGCGTGAAAATACCTCTATTTGTTTAATATTCTTTTTCAAATCATTGTTCTCGTCCTGCATGCTTCTAACTATACATTCGTACTCTTTTTTTTCTGCTTCCAAGATTAATTTTTGGGCTTGTATCTCTTCATTGCACTCTAAAAGTTTACTAAGTTTTTATTTTATTTATTACATATTAAAAATATGCAATAGTGTTAGATCAATATTTTACGTTTGTTCTGGCTAGCAGAGTTAAGGACAAACAAGGAAAAAAGGGAGGAAAGAAACAAGGAAGAGGCAAGGAAGAAAATAGAATAAAGAAAGTGAGTTTAACTTTCTGAGTTATCAGCATATAAGAGTTATAAATAAATTTCATTATTCAATCTAAATTTGATTAACTAAAAACTATAAAGTATTTTATACATGAAAATGAGAATCGTTACCTTATTCAAGGCTATAAATACATATTTTTTTTATAAACCTTTTCCTTTCAAATCAAATGATTAATTATTTCGAGCATTCATTTATTTAAAAAGGAAAATATTTAAAGAAATAAACCTTCTATGCCATATTATTAATGAAAATTCAGAACTTGAAAAATATTCTGTAAAGAATTTTTAAAGCAGCCATAACTCAACTAAAATATTTTAAAGATCATGTTTTAGTGATTCATACCTTTGAGTATTATAATAAATTTCTTTTATAACTTGGTTAACTCGTTCAACGTTTCCTCCTTTTCTTTTAACTGCTCGGTTAAATCCAAAACTTTACCTCGCAAATCATCTTGATCATTTTGTGAGTTATCTAGGCAAAATCTTTCTTTGAACGTGCCAAGCTCAGATTCTATAGCTAACTTATCCCTTTCCATTAGTTTTAAGACTTTTGTCAATCTATCTACTTCTCTCTCCTTCTGTGATATTTCTTGGTTCTTGCTTTTGATCTCGTTTTCCAAGTCTATCCATTTCTTTCGATTATCAAACTCTAAATTGGCGTTTTGTTGGTTGGATCTTTGAAGTTCTTTCCGTAACTTTGATAAAGAAATGATTATGTGTAGTATAAATTTCCATAATATGTATTTTACTTATTTAACATCTAAATTATAAATAAAACAATTTTAAAATAACTAAATCCAAGTATAAAATATAATTGCATTTTTTAAGCCTTTTTCTTTATATCATGGGCGTAGCTAGGATGAATGGAAGGGGGGCAGAAGAATTCTTCTTTTTAGAAATTTGCTTGTTCTCATAAATTTCATTTTAAGAAAAATTCCCCTATACCCAAATCCCTTTCTTTTCCCTATGAAAATTAACTATTAACAATAATTTGAAAGAAACCAGCAAAAACGAACTACGTTCTACTTTACATAGAAGAAGCGCTCGTGAATAAAAAAAATGCTTACAATTGAGTTGCGCATACTATTTATCAGAGACCTTCAGGCAGCCGTAAGCTTGCCCCGTGTACAAGTGACGGGCCGTATTTTAATTTTTAATACCCTGCCCGGGCCTAAAAATATTTTTTTGAAAAGTGCACGGGCCGGGCTATATATTTTAAAACAAAATATTTTAAATCGTATTAGATAAAAATTAAAAATCCGGGTCAACTGGGCCGTGCAATGGTATATCTGCAAGTCTCTATTATTTGTTATTTAATTATAGCCATTATATTTTGCATAGAGACAATGGCAAGATAATTATAAACAAGTAATTATTTTGGATAAACAAATTTAGAAAGTGACCTGGATTTGTGAATAAGTATACTTCATAACTGATAAATATAATAAAATAGATTAAAAAAAGAAGCACTTGTTATATTATTAAAAGGGCAATTAACAATTATGTAGTTAAATAAAAAATGAAATGTATATATTGTTACTTGACTTCCTTCTTCAACGTACTTGTCTATCTGAGCCTCTTGATTTTTTACTTTCTCTTGTAGACCTTTTAATTGATTTTTGAGTGAAGATATATCAATGGACATTTTTTCGTAACTTCCTTTGAGTTTAGCCTTTTCATCATCATAGACTTTGATTCGATTAGTAGTCGCTTGAAGAGATTTCTAACGAGTGAAAAATAATGCTCAAACCAATAGTGACAGGTCAATCATAGTCGATGATATAAGTAGATGATATAAATATGTAAACAAGGGTTTTAGGGGATCCCAAAAGAGAGATTGACACCCAATCAATAAAATTAAAACAATTAAAAATATCTGATGGAGATTCATTAAAAAAATTCATTTAAATTTCTGTTTTATCCATATTTAAAACAAGTCATATAGCTTTATATTCATTAATTAAGAAATTAATGTCCTCCCATATAAAAGGCTCGGGACCAAATATAGTTCCCTCGTCCAGATACTAAAGGTTAAGGTGAAGATTGAATTTGGACTTAATACTTGAAATGAAGTCATAAATATCTAAGCAAAAGAGGAGAGGGCCCAAAGAATCTCCTTGTTGTACCCTCCATAAAAATACTAAGAGGAATTTATATAATGGGAATGGTCAGGAAAACTCTCAAAGAATTTCAAAGAGAAGGCAGGTCTGTACAAAGCACCTTGACCACAAAACTAAATTGATAATCATCAAGGTAATTCATTCCATGAATCTTAATACGTTTCACTATTTGAAACCAAATATATCTCAATACCAGTCCACATTACCCTATCTATCCTTAGAATAGTGGCGCCACTAGCCTTTACCAGGTGACTCAAAAAATTTTTGAAAATTATTTTCAAAATTACCTTTTTTTTTAGCTAATAATTATCAAAATTACAATGGTACAAAAAAAATTCAAAATTTATAAGGTGACTAGAGCCCCTGCGCCTCCCCCCCCCCCTTCATAGTGATGCTGACGATATTGCTTTAGAATAATTTTGTAAATATGATTGAAATATTTCTAAGAGTTGATTGCTAAAACTCGATTAATTATTATATTCAAAAACGGCTAGATGTTTTTAACAGACACTAATAACTTTTCAAATAATATCATAATATTTTAAATATGGATATGATATTTACTGTAAATTAATAAATATTAGCCATATTATTAATGCAAAAGGCATAGTCTCATATGGCATCAAACGCCATAAATTTTAGATCAGTGCTCGTATTTTCAGGTTTTTAGCAAACATCTGATTAAATCTTACGTCTTGTTAAATAATATTATATTAAATTTCAATCGCTGCATTAGCAAATATTTCCTGAAATATTTGTATATGATTTATACATTTAATTTTTTTTTAAAGTAAGATATGAGTTAGGAAATAAAATTTTACTTCTTTTAAATTTATAGTCAGAGTATATACACATTCATTGAACATAATAAAAAAAAAATCTGACGTGAATAGGATCTAGAATTTATTTGTTTGGTGGATTTAAAAATGAAATTTAATATGGAAATAAAAGTCAAAGGTATAGTATAATTATGATACAAGGTGTTATAACCTAAATCACCTGAACGAATTAAATCATATAATAATAACCTCTTTTTCTAAAAAATCCTTCTGTGTTTCATTGAGAACCTTTTGTAGCGCTTTAAGCTCACCTTCCAAACTATGAACTGTGTCGTTCTTATCACCCATTTTATCCATTTCTTGTTTCAAACTTTGTATGAGTTTTTCTTTTTCGTCTATTATACTCTTGTAATTGGCTATAAGTTTTTTTGATTTTGCCTGGCCTTCTTCCATATCATTTTTAAGGTTCAAAATATCCAATTCTAGTTTTGAAGTGTTGGCAATTTTTTCGGCCAACTCTTGATCCTTTTCTAGCATTTTATCTTCATAATCAGACTGGGTTCCCGAGTCTTTGGACTGGTTGTATAGTAGTGAGTCTTTTTGATTATCTTTATTAGGGCTACTACTCATGGAACTTATTTGACTCCCTGGGTTTTCGTCATCGTTTAATGTTTTAGCAATATCCGTCATAGAAGGTGACTTTTTGATGAACCTAGAATTTACCGTGGTATTATAAGAAAATAAGGCTCCCCTTTTTTCATCGCATAGCGGTGATGCAGCTTTACTTGAAGAAGTAACAACAATAGGGTTATTTTTGTTGAGTTGTTCTACCTGGGTTTGAGATAGAATGGTGTGAACAGATGATTTAGGAATAGGTACAAATTCTGCTAGCTTAAAATCAGTAGGATGGCTTGCTGGTGTTGTCAATATTCTATCTGTGTCCACGCTACTGCTTCGTTGAACTTTCTTTTTGAATTCGTAAAATTTGTTGAGAACAGTTTTAAGTTGAAGATCTTTCTCTTTAATAAGGTCTTCTAGACTTTTCGTCTAATCAATTAATATATATATATATATATATACATGTTATAAATGATAGTCTTATAGATGAGTATGCGGAATTCATATTTTAACTAATTTTATTTGTATTTAATTTTAAAATTAGATTTTCATATAACATGGTTGTTATTATTGTCTTTTTTTTTAACCTACATATTTTTTTTAAAAACTATATTGCTATCTTCTATAGTTATATATGTATATTATATATATATACTTTGTGTTGATAAATTTGTAAAGTTTGATCTTTAAGCTCCAGATTTTCTAGTGTTTGAGTCAATTGTTGAGACAGATTATATTTTTCCTGAACAATACCTTTAATATCCATTTTGTTTTTATCCAATACGGTGTTGAATTCATCTATCCTCGTTCTTAAAGCATCCACCTTTGATAACAGAAATTGAAAAATATAGTTTTAATTCGGGTTTTTATAAAATAAAATATTTCCCAGAAATAAATTATATTTATATTATCTTCTTTAAAGGATCTTGCCAAAAATTTTATTTTAGAATGAAATTTTATAATTTTTAAATGATAAATTTATAGTTTTTCTTTTGATAAAGCAGAAAATATAATTTAAAATTACGTCTGTTTTTAGCATGCCAGCGTGAGCGTCTTTAGCAGAAATATTTTCTTTTAAAAAAGATATATGCCTCTTATAATCTTCTATCTGTTTTTCCAGTGTCTCATATTTGGCCTTGTATCCACACAATTCTGTCAAAGTTTTGTTGAGATCTGCTTGAAGTATATCGGCCTATTGGATTTTATTTTATTGGAATGCATTGTCTTAATTAAAAAATTACACGTGAATTTCAAGTCTAACAATAACAGCTTCTCCATTTAAAACGCCTGAAACCTTCAAAAGATCAAAATATTTTTTTCATCTCAAATCATGTTTATTACTAATTACTACAACTTTGAATAACTATGGCAAAGTTTAAAAAATTACAAATCGTCTCATGGAGAATTTTATACCTAGAAAAATAAATATATGTCAGTCCAAAATAATATTTAATAAATCAATATTTTAATTTTTTTTTTACGATTTTCTTATTCAAAAAATTAGAAGGATAATATTTTAATAGGCCTTAATTTGTTTTAGAAGAAAATTGAATACTTGGGATGAAGAAGGTGGGGGGGGGGGGGTACGCCACCTGTAAAATAAAATATTATCAATTTTTATATTAAAATATTATATTATAAAAAAAATTAAAAATAGTAATCCACTTAAATTCATTTTGCCAAAACAAAATTTTTTACAATTTATAACATATCAAAAAAAATGGTTTTGTTTTTTTTGTTTTTGGTTTTTCAAAAAGTGCATTCATCTTATGCATTTGGCCAAAAAAATAATCACTTTTAATCTGAACCCCCCTGTACATGTATAAAACTTTAAAACATTCATTTTCCTTGTTCCCACAAATAAAAATGTATATGGCCCACTGAGATGGAACATTTCAGCAATTGTTTTAATATTAGCAAAAGTTTGGGAGCTAAAATTAAACAAACTGCTCTTACAAATGCATAATACTCGGTTTGTCTTCATCGTTTTAATTTTTTTTTTTAAGGAATCCATATTCATACTTTCCTCTTTCATTAATAACTATTTTACCGTTCAAACTTATCCTTAAAAATATTTACTAAGATTTGTGTTTCAAGTTTTGGAAGGGATTTTATACAATTAATAAGTTATTAAAAGGTCCCTTTATGGAATCCTAACAAGTTATTTAACTTTTAACTATTATATTTTTATTTTAAAAATAATATTAAATTAAAAAAACGTTTTTAAAGAAAGGATATTTTAGATTAGAACCGATACTATACAAACTTTTTTTCTTAAATTTGCGTCATCTTCTGCTTTCGAATCGATGGACTTATCCGAAATATTGTAATCTTGAGACCGTATGTGACCATTTGTCCTGAGTGTCTTACTCTCAAGTCTGGCTTCCTTATCTAAAAAATTTCTCTCTAGTTCTAGTGATGCTATACGGGCATCCTTGAAGAAAAATAAAATAAATGTGTATTTTAAAGAAAAATAAGAAATATTAATAAATCAGTATACAATAAATTGTTAAACGGATCTGTCAGATTCCAATCTCAGTTTGAGTTTTCGCAGGTCTGAATGGTCTCAAAATATTTTTATTTTACTAAATTCTTATTTTCCTGAAGTTATTTTAATTTTTCCTCTTTTTTATAAATAAATAATCCATAAAATTTTTCATAACGCCTAAATTTGGATCAAATACCTTTATTCTAAGAATAGTTTTGGCCAGATCTGACCTGGATCTTTAAAAACCTTTGGCTCACACCGGATGTAAAAAAAAGTTTGATGCAGGGCTCCAGTTATAATAAGCAACGATAACTTGATTGCCGCCTGCCAACGAGTCAAACATACAAATACTTTAAATAATGACTCAAACTGGTAAAAATTACAGCCATTATGTTCAACCCAAAAAAATAGCGCGCTACATGTTTTTTAAAGTTAACAATATTATATATACTTTGGCTTCCAAAATGCTTTTAAGCAAGGTAATCTTGGACGACAAATTCGAAGAGTTATCTAATCTATCCGATGGATTAGGTTTGCCAGTCTGTTGGTAAAATATCGATCAAGATTCATTTACAATTTTTTTTATCTTACTTTTAGATCATTATTGTTTTTATAATTTTATGTGGTGTAATATAAACCTTTTTAGCCTCTTTGTATCTCTCGATCTCGGCATTTTTCTTGCTCAATATATTTTCACAATATTCCAATTTCGATTCAGTCGAGATCAATTTGGATTTCAAGATTTGACGATCCATCCCTTCAGCCACTATAAAATCCTTCATAATATTTTTCTTCTTTAGTTTTACCTCGTGAGATTCCCCTTCAAATTCGGAATAGCTACTCAAGGTCTCATACAAATTTTTGATAGTCTCGTCTCTACTGTGAAGAGTTTTTATGTGAGTTTCAGCTTGAAGTTCTAATAGCTTTTTTTGGATTTATTTTGGAAATTAAATTTAGATCTGAAAAAATTATTCATATTTAATTAATAAACCCCTTTTTTAGACATATAATATTTTAATAATTCCGAAAAACGATATTAAAAGGTTATACAGCCATGTCTGGGTTTGACTCATTACTGGTGTAGCCAAACGGCTCGATTTGGGTCTATTTTTAAAAAGGGCCCAATTAAGATTTTTACCTAAATTATATCATCTAAGCCTCAAGATTTGGTAAATAGAGGTTTAAACATTTCTGCCATCTATGATCAAAATCTCCATCCATAATATTATTTTGGCTAAAATCGTAATCGGGTCTTTTTTTAAATCATGCCATTTAACAACACTACTTATATACTGAATAGCCGCTTGTTTAGGCTGATATTTCGTTTCGACTAAACAGCCTAAAAATTTATTGAAATTTATTTTTAAAAAAACGAAAAATAAATGGAAAAAAATGACAAAAATCACGAAATATAACAATGTCAAAATGCTTAAAATTAAAATAACCCAAAATAGGGTATTCTAGTTCAAAAGCTATTTAACCTAGCTGCATTATGTTGAACCAGGACATAGCCTATATATTAATTTTTTTCGATTTTAAGGTTTATTTGCATTTTTAAAATTAATTAAATGTAAACCTAGATAAATAGTCTTATAATCTCGCAGAATAATGCAAACATTACTAATAGTAATAATCGGATTAAGTAACTTACCTGTGCCCTCATATCAGAGATTCATACCCATTCCACAAATATTGAAAAAAATATTTATTATACTTAGAAAAATTTAATTTAAATTTACTCATTTGGATTCATTATTTTTTTTAAATATATCTATTTTTATCGCTTATAATTTCTGCAAATAATTCGAAATCACTACAATTTTAATACAAATCGTCCAATATGTAATGGTATAATAGTAATTCTCTCAATCATGTTCAATTATTACAAATGGTACAACTTTAAAGTGCTCTTTATAGACCGTTATTTTTTAGCCAATATAAAGAGATATATAATGCTTTTAAACCATGTTGCCTAACATGGGAGAAATATGGCTCTCTGATTGAATATAATTTTTAACTATAAATTGATATTTATATTAACATTATATTTTTCCTGCAGTGTTTCCATTTGGGACTCAAGAGAATTTCGGTGGTCGAGTAACGTTTCAAAATCGTTGATACCTATAAGAGCTAAGGGCTGTGGAGTTTCGTCAGCTGCAGTTTCTTGGTGTGTCACATTTTTACCGATTCTCAAGATATCTTTGAATCTGCATTCCTCCGATTCCATTTCTTTTCTTAAAATTTCCAAAGCAATTTCTAGTTTCTTTTTTAATCAATTTTCTTTAAAATATTATCAAATAATCATCATGCAAAGATCTCTAATACAAAGGGAGGGGGTTGAGATGCACTCACGTCATTAAAAAAATTCCAGTTACTACATAAACAGTATCCATTTTATAAACGAATTATTTTATATTTTAATCATCAAAGGGGTCTTTGCATCGGTTCTAAAGGTAGTACAATGATATATGCATTTACCAAAGTCGTCCAGGAGCCGACGGGTCAACCCAACCTGGCTACCTAAATTATAGACCATGCCCGCTCCATGGCTAAAGATATAAAAAATTAGTAGATGGGAATTATTTACTATTCATTTTTAAGTTATATTTTGTAATAAACCAGGCGGACCTAAATCTAGAAAATAAATTCAAAAAAATTGGATTTTGCAGGCTTCTAGTATATGCCATGTAATAAATATGTATATTCCGAAATAAAATAAATTTAAAATAATTTTGTTAATTTTTAAATTTAGTTAAAAAAATTCAGAACTTCCATTCCCTTAATCAAAAATATTGGATATTCTTTTATTTATACTGTTTAATTAATATTAATGTTTATTTATATATTTTTTTCCTCAAAAAATTAATGAATTTTAATCATTGAAAATTAGAAAAGCCTACGCGGCGAAAATTTTTATTTATGAAATCTTTTGACAATCATAAATAATGCAAGCAATTAGCTACCTCCATTAATTTTAAAGGTGAGGGAGAAGAAAATTTCTGTTTTCATCGAATTCCTAATAATTAGGTCAGAGCCCTCTATCTAGACCCCCTAAGCCAGAAATTGATTCAAATATAATATGGATACTGGCTACAAATATCTGTTGATTAAAAGGTTATCCCCTAAATTATACTCTGAAATTTTAATGACACAATTTAATCGTGTACCATGTTAGAGGGCCTAAAATCAGTTTGAACTTAATATATTATCTTGTTATTAAAAAGTTTGTAAGTTTAAAATGTTGAGCTTATATTAAAACTATAAGTTTAATATAATAATTCACAAAGTATAATTCTTATATTATTACATTTTATGTTATAAAAAATAGTATGAATTGTAAAAATTATTTTACAAAATATCTGATTTATAAAAAAAAGAATTAAACTTATAATAATATTTACCCGATTCTCCGAGGAAATGAGTTTAAATTTTTCGGTATTCATATCATGTCTTCGCGTTTCTTCTCTTCTCATTTCTCTTTCCCTCTTAAGTTCAGGGCTCCAAAAATGTTTGATACTGTTGACGGAAGAATTAAACCTTTTAACTACGCTTTCCAATTCCATCTTTAATGCCGTCTTTTCCTTGCATAACAAATTAATTTTTATATTTAAACCAGCCACTATACTATTTGAGTCCTTGTCTTTGTTATCACCACTTGGTCTTAATTGAGCGAGATTTTCTTTTACTTCCTCGTCTTTATTTCTATCTTCTTCCCCTATATGGCTTTTAATTTCGGAGGAAAAATTTTCTAGGAAAGGGTTTGATTGCCTAGATTTATCGGATCTTCCACGATATTCGATATTATCCAAATTGACATCATTAGGCGCATATATATAGTCATCATTTTTAGTATCATCGGTGTTTGAGAGAAGAAAATGACTTTTATCATCGGCTACATAATTTCTATATTTTGGATTATTTGAACAAGGATGATTAAGGCTACCGGATTCCATAGAGGAAGAATTAAACAAGGGGGATTTGTATTTAGGACCACTTCCTTTAGCTTTGATATTCTCGATTTTGATATTACCGTAATGATTAAGATTCTGATGATGCTGATGATGATGGTGGTGGTGAGGAATCTTTTTGCCATTAAAATGATAGTTAAGAGGGTTCCAATCGGAGGATTGGGATGGATTGTCAAAACCATTAACTATGAACCTAATTATATTTACTATTATAGATATTAACTCATATATAATATAATAGAATTTTTTTTGTCTTTTAATATTTTTAAGGCTAAAAATAAATACTCTTGAAAGACCCTCCCCCCCCTCTCCTCACTACCATAACCATATTTCTCTCATGTATTCATTTAGTCAATTTCTGCAAATAAATATTTTTAATAATCTATTAACCTTTTGATAGGCTTAGAAACGAGAACTGGGATGGTCTTGCAAGAGTAATCGGAGAAAGTCCGGTTAATTTCCGTTTTACTAGTGAGAACTCTGGCTGGCGCAGTCATATCGTTGGATATTTCCCGAACGTAATCATTGTAATCATTGTAATCAATTAATGTGGGTGTTTCCGGGTCTGCAGCATAAGCCAGATGAGGTTCATAGTTCACCAAGTTTAAGTTTATCAGATCGAATCCTTCATTCTCGATATTTTCGTCCTCATCAAAATTATAATCATCCCATGAGGCTGGTGGTTTCTCTACTAAAATTTCCGATAAAGCTAGCTGGCTCATACACCTGGGTTTGTACTTGTTATTTAGCATGTCCTTGTTATGATGATGGTGATCATAATAAGGATATTGATTAGCACCCCGATTTAAAAAATTATTTTTGGTCACTGGGTATTTCATAAAACAAGGGTAATAATCCTCGTGAAAGACTAGCTCCTCTTCATCGCCTCTATCATCGACTCTTGAAAATGGATTTTCGATGTTTTGGGTTGTGGTAAATTCTTGTTGTTGTGAAAGATGCTGAGAAAAAGAAGGAGGTAGTAATGGGCTAGGTTTAATAGAAAAGTAATCCTCAAAATAATCTTCTGGTAAACTCCTTAGACTCATGGCGCTTTGAGTTCGCTTTCGTTGGGCTAGTGTAGGGCTAGAAAAAGATATATCATTAATACCATAATTACTGTAATGTGGAAGACTTTCCCCATTTTTATAGCATTCTTGATGCGAGATGGGTTTAAACAAATTTATGGAATTAGAGTTATCGATTCTAGTTACAATTTCATTTTCATTAGTATTCATTTGAAATGCCGTAGATTCATCTTTATTACGTGTTTTTTCACCTTCCATTCACTAATTTCATTTGTTTATGGAATCAATAATATTCGTGATGAGGATAATTGAGCGCAATTCCTATTATATATCTAAACATTTATAGATTTTTTTAAAAAATTCAATCAATAATCTATTGTTGCTCACCGTAAAATAAATCCAGTCTTTTGTGTGTATATCATATTATTTATTTAGGCCAGTTCAACGTTTTATCAAAATAGTTCATTTTTAACATATAAGTAAATAAATATATACTGCGAAATTTTAAATAGTTTTTTTTCCAGAGAATAAGAATAATAAATAGACTAACCTAGAAGGCGAGATGAGGCTTTGATCCCTTTATATCTTATAAAATAAGATACTTTAGGGATTCTAAAAGAAATAATAATGTGATATAACCATTATCGATTTTATTTTTCTCTCTTGAGTTAATTATCTTTTTTTTGCGATAAAACTTGGTAATAATAAGGTTCCATGTGAATTATATCGTTATAAAAAGGAAAGCTCGAATTTATAATATCTCTAAAATTTTGCGAGGTATGGAATTCAAAAAAAAAAATTAAAGAAGAAAAAATGCAAAAAAGGAAATTGCTTCTAAAGGGTTTAGGGAATGATTGTATAAGGATTATAAGATCTATTATATTAAATCTATTCCAAGGGTGAAGAATAAAAAAATATGTTTCTTTAAATTATGTATAAAAAAAGAAGAAATATTCTTAAATTATCACAAAAAATAAATTTTTCTTTATCATAAATGGAATATTGATTATATTATTATTTTTTAAATATAAATTATAAAATAAGTAGATAAGAGTATAGTCGCATAATAATAATAATATATTTTTATAAAATATATAAATAAGGGGGGGGGGGGATAATAAAAAAAAATCAATACTAAAATAATTTTTGGGGGCGAAAAAAAGCATTACATAGTAATTTAAAAATGAGGGCAGCAAGGGTTTATAATTGAGATAATAATTGAAATTGGCTAAAAATAAGCTAATTTCCAAATATATATGCGCGTGAGGAAAAAACCCGCTAAGCAAGAAAGAAAGAAGGAGATACACGAATTAATTTACACTTATAGCTTATGTTTTACAAAAAAAACCGAGATAAGTTTTAGACTTTAAAAAAAACTAGGTTTAGCTCGTTTTTTTCTCCGGCTAAAAATAAGTTATTCAACTTTAATTAATACCTCATAAAATCTGCTTTATTTCAACACCCACTTGATAGGATTTTTGGAATTTCCTCATAATATTACTTGTGTAGTGTTAATCTTCATCCTTTAATATTTATAATGGCGATACTAGATCGATATTGCAAAATACTGAATAGAGTATTTTACTGCAAACCGGAATATAGTAAAAATGTTATTAGTGAAATCAAATTTTAAACCTCCGGATAAAATTTTCCTATTCCCATATTGCTAAAGAAAATATAGGATATGAACGTTTTAATAAAATTTTTGTTATTGTAAAAAAAAGTTTTCATTTGCATTAGCATATTTCATGTTATATTATAGTGACTGAGCCTTTAATTCATACTATTTTTTCTTCTTTAAAGTCTACTTTCTATTATCATACCTATGTGTGATCGTGGTCGTACTGCAAATATTTTTCTTTTTGGCCAAAGATTCAATCTATTTAACATGTAGAAAAAAGGTAAATTCAATTAAAAAATCACATATATATATTACATTATTGTGTAGCTATTATATTTACTATGCAAATGCATCCTTACTATTCTGACTTAATTTAGAACTAATCAATCGCTACCATACCTAATCTTTCCTCCTCCTCTACAATAAAAAGTGTATATAACATCATATAGGTGATCCATATATTAGTGGGAAATGTATGGTGCAGGTTTACTCCTTCTGAAGTGCAATGCCCTCAAAACTCCATAGACCCATATAACAATGATATCTCCGCCGCTGATTACTAAAATAATTTAATTATAAAATGTATCGACTGTGTATGTTGGTAGACTAAAAAAGTCCATCCCCAAGATTTCAATAAATTGATTGGTATAAGCACCCCTCACCGTGCCATGCGGGATGAACTTATATTCATAATTAAATTTAATGTTTATATCAAAGATGTGTAAAATCAATTGTTTTCGGCCCGATCCCGATCGTGACCAGATAACAAATATTTTTTTAAACGTAGACCCGGCCTGTCCGTTGCGGGACTAATTTATAAAAAGAGGATGCTTATAAAGAAGAAATTTAAACCTAAAAATATTTATTCTTATTCTATATTTTGATGTTATGCAATAAATTTAAGCATTCAGTAATTATTTTATGTTTTAACTATTCCTTTTTTGTTCTACAAAATATGATATGAATTGTTATAGAATGAATTTTATTAAAATTAAAAAATTGGACAGAACAACTACTACACCTAATAATTATCCAAGTAACAATGCTTTGTAGACTTTCCTTGCTATAAAAAAATGGCGCGATTATGTGAGGCTCAATAGATATCTTGTCAGGACGAGTCGTGTACGAACGTACTAAATGACGGAATAAAATATTTCCCACCTTCTAATTCATTTTTAAAAGATTTATTTTATAATTGGGATGATATTTAATCAGACAAATAAATAAGTATAGTAAAGGAATATAAATATTTTTCAAGTTATGGGACGAACATATATTTTTTATATGAAGTTTTCACTAGCGCGGCAGAACTTTAGTTTATATTCAATAAAAAATAGATTAGACCACTAGAAAATAGAATCGAAAAATTTGATTAGTATCGAATATTTTAGTATTCATAATAATGTATGATTAATTTAGATTTTTTTTCAGGTATTCTATTTTGTAAAGGCAATAAAAATATATTCAAACATACTATTGTCATGATTTATAAATATTTTTAAAATAAATTTATATAAAAAAAGCAAATTTCTTTCAGACATAAAGTTTTACTAAATAGTTTCTCATTTTCATTCCATTTTTGGTAAATCATATTTGTACCTATAAACATGGAAATTTATAAGATGTATCACCCCACATTCACAGTTAGCGCGAATTCGTGCTAACTATGAATGCAAGATAAGAACTCTATCATTTACTCGCTTTTTGACCGTTCAGTGATGTTTATTTTAATTTGGAAATTAATTAAATATTTGTAAATAATATTTAAAATTAACGGATAATTCGAATATTTACTAAAATTTGCGAATTTTATTATTCGTCAAATTTTTAAATAAAATTATTATTCGTTATTTGATTATAATTTTTTGAATCGATTCATTTGTCATTTTCGTTCACTCCCTTTTTATCCGAGTCCTGTCCAGCCCTAACTGTTATTTTAAAAATTAGTCCGAAACGACTTAAAATTATATCCAAATCCAATCCGAAAAATAAATTGGTTACTAAAAAATTTGATTTATTTCAAGGAAAGCGGAAAAATTAATAAGTGCTGGAGGAAAATAAAAAATAATTTCTTAAAAAGATGGAATTAATAAAAGCATTAAGAAAATCAAAAAATAACATAAATTTTTGCAAATTTATGCTCGGCCTATTCCTAATATAAAAAAAAATAAGAGTTGCTACCCGACCTTAGTCGTGTTAGAGCTAGCATGAGAAATCAATTTTGCAGGACATTATCGTGCTCAATGGACTGAATTAAGCTTAGTTTTGTTTAACTTGATTGCCGATTTGTAAAAACGGTTAACTCAATTATTTTATCCAGAAAAATATTGTGCCTGTCTTAAGATTTTGTTCCTAGCTGGTACAAAGGCTTGGACAATCTATTAGAGAGAATCGAGGTTAGGCAATATTTTTTCTGGCTAAAATATTGAGTTAGCTATTTTTAAAAATCGAGCCATTTAACAACACTAATTAGACTAATATAATTGAAAGGAGTTCGGGTTCACCAAAATAACCCTTAGTATTCGAAGCTATATAATGACTTTGATTTTAGGCATCCGCTTATACCTTTTATAATGATAAAATTCAAGAAGCTGTATGGAATTTCTACCTTAGATGAAAAAGAAAACCAATCCTTCATGTTATAATTGCTAGTTATTATAAAAGTATATTTTCTATGAGTTTTTGTAGTGTTCAGTATATTTTATGGACGGGCTGGATCCTAATAATATATTTTCTAGTGGGCCTGTTAAAAAAAATTTTTTTAATGGGCTTGGGTCTAAATAATTATTTTAATTTTGATTATTTAAAACAGTTGCTAACTTAAAAAAATATTGCAATTTTTTCTTCTAGTAATATAAATTTCAGCATTGTAAACAAAATGATTGCCTAAAAATACACTTATATATTGTTTATCTTTGATAAATATAAAAAATTAAACTTTTATATATGGGTTTGGGAAGGGAAATTTTTTTGAAGTTTAGCATACCTCAGGCTTGTTTACTGCCGGACTGGACCGTGCTTGATCCAATAATTAGGTTTGTGAAGGTGTCTGACAGAGATATCAAACACAGTGATTTATACACGATTTATAGAAATAGACATCTAGAATATAAGTGCTTAATTGACAATGAGGAATATTAAAACCCTGATGGCCGGAAAATTCGTATAAAAAATTAGAACCGTGGCGTACTTTTAGTAAATTTTTTACTATCTGGGGCGGGTGCGACTGTTCGTAAATTTTGAGGCCAGGCATCGGGCAAAATTTTAGAATAATTTCGGGCCGGACTGGAGAAAAATTTAGAAGACTGGGCAACTTATACAATTCTAAACGTGCCTGGCCTGGGCTAATAAGTAGTAATTGAGGAATCAGTTGTATGAATGAATTTATCGATTTAGATATGATTATTAAAAAAGTAAAAAGTTGTATTAACAAAACTTATTCAAAAATGTAGCTTACAATTTAAACTAAAACAAATTTTTATTGAAAAATGAAAAAGAATAAAATATAGTTTAGTATAACTAGATGACATAGGTATACGCTGAGATAAAAACTTTAGCACAAGATTCTTTCTTTTTAATATATATATTATATAATTAAATAAAAATATGTTTATATTTAAATAAACATTGGCGTGGTTTGCTATTGATTGGCAAAAAAGATATAAAAATCATAATGTTAAGAGAAAAAACATTATCACTACCTTTATAATTTGTCTATCTTCATATGTTTAAATATTTAATAATGAAAGATATGTTATAAAGGGGTAATTCATATAAAAGGATTTTAGAAGGTATAACTAACTAGCTATTATATTGCAAAAAAAATTCATCAGTTCATTTAATGAATTGAAAAAGGTAGGAAAACATATAAGTTATAAAAATTCCATAATAATATAAATAAATTCCATGGTCCATAGAATAGATACTTTTCAAAATGCGTCAAAAAAAATTGTGTAAGGACAAAAAAGTTTTGATATTATAAACTACAAATTCCAACATAATTAAGTTCCTTGTATATTTTTGCATTGTAAATTTTATAATTTTTATTTAAAATATATAAGAAAAAATAAGTATTTAAAATTATTAATTAGTAAACATGTAAAGCCAGTTAAATTTAGAGTTTCTAAAAAAATTGGTATGCTACTAACAAATTAAATTTTAACATTATAAATATTTAAAAAAATTAAAAATATAATTTTAAAACAAATTACTTAGTTTAATACGTTTTAAATAATTTTTTGTGTATGTATTTTTGGTCCGAACCGGCAGTAAAATCTGAGACACAATTTCCATTGCCTTTCATGATCCATTTGGTTGTCAAGAGACCATCCATCCCTACGGGGCCTCTGGCGTGTATGCGTGATGTACTAATACCTACTTCAGCACCTGTTTTGTAAATTATATTAAATCATTTCTTTCATTACTAGATCATTTTATAGGGGGGTCATAAATTGAATAGCAAACAATTTTGCAGTATTCAAATGATCTGCATTTAATTCCCTGGTTTTGTATTGTTAATCATTTCTTATTTTTTTTAAATGGCAATTATCACATTTTGTAGATGCGCCTTTATTGAACTCTGTATCGGGCTTATTATTTTTTTAGGTCCGGCCCGATATGAGATTTTATTGGCTCATTTTTCCAAAACTCGGAGTACCAATAGGGCGAGAGGAAAATATTAAAAAATCAGTGTTTTTCCTGAAGAGAATAAGCATTTGTATGGCAAAATAATTAAAATTTTAGGTCCGAGTCAGACCAATCCGAGTTCAGTCGTATTTTATCCGGCGATTTCGATAGGAATTTATTTTCAAAAAGTGCCAATCAAATTCCTCCATTTCGAAGTGCACACTAATCATTTTCGCTATTTAATATATGTAAAATAAAAGCTAGGCTAATCTCTAGGAGGCGAGAGTTGTGGGGTGGATGGGGTAGGGGTATTAACGACCGTAAGAAACTAAATTTACATCCTAATCTTCGTAACATCAATAACTTAGTCTAGTGTTTGAGCGATGAAAGCAGAATACCCTCCACCCTTAAAAAAATACCCCTCTCCCCTCCAAAAAAACTTTAATTTTTTTTATTTACTTTCAACCTTAATTATAAATTTCAAAAATAATTTTTATTGCATCAATTTCATTATATAATAAATTATATATTTTATTTTAAATTAATAATTTAAACAACTTAGGGAAAGAAAGTGAAAGAATTTATAATTTCTTCAATATTTAATTGTTAAAAGAAATTTTATGCCAATAAAATGGTTAAATTATTAAGAAAATGATCTTTCACGGTACTATGAAGTTTTGTTTTATTTCGTTTAATTTTACTCATGACCCTTTCGGCTGTACATGAGGTAGTAGGAATAGTTAATAAATATTTATTATATAAAATTGATAAATTAGGGAAAACAGAAAAATTAGAAAGTAAATGATAAGGTAAAATAAATGAATGGTTATTCAAGTCCGAATCATAAGTCTCATAATAATCATCAGAAGTAACTATCTGACAAGTGTATTCTTTAACCTCCAGGAGTGGCCCCTATAACGGGGTGGGAGGGGGCGGGGTACGAACAACTTCCTCTAATTTAAATTTTTTTATTTTTTAATTTTTTTTTAAATTTTATTTCGTTTCCAAGATAATTGCGACTTTATATCCTTGAATATGATAATTCTAACTTTTATTAAAACTTTTATTAAATTTTAGAGTTCAAACAGGATATTTACATATTAGCCATTACAAGAATATTTTATAGCAACGAGTGTAGGTTAAAATTTTTTTATATTTATTACTTTTTTAAATTATCTTAAAATGAATTAGGAATTACAATAATATAATTAACCATTGCACATAATAATTTAGTAATTCTTTGATAATTTAACAATGAGTGGAGATAAAAAATTCAATATCATGTATAATCCTTTTTGAGTTATTTGAATATTTAATAAATTAGTCATGTCATTATAATAATTTAGCAATACCTTGCTTGATTATAACATTTATAAACCACAATTATGGCTTAAAAAAATATTTATTATATTTTGTTTAATATATAAAGTATAAATAATATATCTGTGTACTTTTTATATTAAGATTTATTTTAAGAGGAGTAAAAACTCGGTAAGTAATTATTTCTAAATTAAAAATAATACAATTTATCTAAATGATAATAAAATATTAAGATGAGAATATTTATTCTGATTCTGAATAAAATGCTCTATTCAAGTTTAAGAATTGTATAGTTCAATTTTTATAATATTTTTTGTATTGCTTTAAGATCCGCATAATATTCCATAACATTTTTGTTTTATTTTAAGATCAACATAATGTTACAAATATGGAAGAACTCCCAATTATCTGTTTCAGCAAACATAAGTAATTTAAGAGAATCAAGGGGTATATAATAATAATGCAAATTTCATAATTATTTAATTTTATATTTGAAGGCTTAATTTCTTTTAAACTTTCAAAAAGAAACTTATCGAATCTACTGTTTTACGACTCACTCCAGGCAAGGCCGCAGGACTATTATTTGTATTTTAGGCTATAGTAATAAAAAATGTACAAAACCTTTACAGAAAAAAAAAATTAAATAATAATTTTGATACTTTGATTATTTTGAGAAATATGTTTGTTTCTTTTCTCATCACAATTAGATACATGCACTATTTGTTAAAAAAACCTTTATAAAAAACACCTCGCCATTACATGAACAACATCTTAAAATCGTGTCCTTTTCTTTTATCCTTTATTTAATTGGCATAATATCAATCAAGCCTTTAATTATGAAATTAAAAATATGAAATTTGCATTATTATATACCCCCTTATTATCTAAAATTTCTTATATTTGCAGAAACAGTCATAATTAAGAGTTCTTCCATATTTGAAACATTATGTTGATCTTAAAATAATACAAAAAATGATGAAAAATTATTTTGATCTTAAAGTAATACAAAAAATATTATGAAAAATTTTGTTGATTAAAGTAAAACATTATGAAAATTGAACTATATAATTCTTAAACTTGAATAGAGCATTTTATTCATATTAAATATCCTTATATTAATATTTTATTAACATTTAGATATCTTAAAGAGTTCTTACTCCTTCAAATAATTACTAGTGTTTTTAAAAAGTTCTTACTCCTCACTAGTGTTGCGTAATCGGCTAATTTTAGCCGACTAAAAACGGCTTAGCCGAGATTTTAGGTGGAAAAATCGGCTAAGCCTAATTAGGTAAAGCCTAAAAATCGGCTAAGCCTAATTAGGCTAAGCCTAAAAATTGGCTAAGCCTAAAATCGGCTAAGCCTAAAAATTGGCTAAGCCTAAAAATTGGCTAAGCCTAAAAATGGGCTAAGCCTAAAAATTGGCTAAAATAAATTAGTCAAAATTCTGCATCGATGAGCATTAATTATTATTTATTTATTTTAGTAAAATAATTTATTTTATTTATATTTAATGTAAATATTTTATTATTATCAACAAATAAACATGATATGATTTAATATTTTTTATTTATATTATTATATTTTGAAATGAAAATAAATTTATTTATTTGATGTTTTTTTAATAAAAAAAATAAATGCTGCTATATTGTAAAAATGTAATATTCTTTATTATATAATTTATTAGTGATTTTCACAATCTTCTTTGTAAATACATCTTTTATTGAGGAATTATATTGTAAATTTTATTAGATAAATAAACAATCTTTTAGGTGAAATCTTTTATCATTTTTTTAAAATTATCTATTTATTATTAAATGAGGTGGATTTTATGAAACTTTTTTGATGTTTATATGATCTTTTTGAGGATAATAAATGTGACAATTGTCATAATCGTTCTTTTATAAGATTTTTTTTAATTTTTTTGAAGAAAGTATGTTAAAATAAGTATTAATAACATGTGTAAATACAAATTTAGTGAAGATGTACCAATGAAAAGTGGCAATTGTCATAATCGTTATTTTTAAAGTTTTTCGAATTTTTTTGACGAAAATATGTTAAAATAAGTATTAATAACATGTGTAAATATAAATTTAGTGAAGATGTACCAATGAAAAGTGACAATTGTCATAATCGCTATTTTTAAAGTTTTTTGAATTTTTTTGACGAAAATATGTTAAAATAAGTATTAATAACATGTGTAAATATAAATTTAGTGAAGATGTACCAATGAAAAGTGGCATTTGTCATAATCGTTATTTTAAAAGTTTTTTGAAGAAAATATGTTAAAATAAGTATTAATAACATGTGTAAATATAAATTTAGTGAAGATGTACCAATGAAAAGTGACATTTGTCATAATCGTTATTTTTAAAGTTTTTTGAATTTTTTTGAAGAAAATATGTTAAAATAAATATTAAAAACATGTTTAAATAAAAATTTAGTGAAGATGTATTATAGAAAAGTGACAATTGTCATAATCGTTATTTTTAAAGTTTTTTTGACGAAAATATGTTAAAATAAGTATTAATAACATGTGTAAATATAAATTTAGTGAAGATGTACCAATGAAAAGTGACAATTGTCATAATCGTTATTTTTAAAGTTTTTTGAATTTTATTGACAAAGATATTTTAAAATAAGTATTGATAACATGTTTAAATAAAAATTTAGTGAAGATGTACTCTAGATAAGCGACAATTGTCATAATCGTTATTTTTAAAGTTTTTTGATTTTTTTTGACGAAAATAGTTAACTTGCATCGATATTGATAAATTTTAAACAAGATTGTCTGGTGAAAATTGGTAAAAAAATAATAATTTCTAACTTAGTATTAGATATTATGATATAAATTTTGCATATTAATTTCTGACCCGATGAATGGATGTAATAAAATGCCAATTTGCTCCTGTTTTTGGGGAAGAATCTATTATTACCATATGTTTTTCTATGGCATATACTCAGGTAATTTTAATTTTACAATCTATATTTTTACCCATTTACATCAAAGAAATTTTAAAAATAACGATTATGACAATTGTCACTTTTCTATAGTACATCTTCACTAAATTTTTATTTAAACATGTTATTATTATTCATTTTAACATATTTTCGTCAACAAAAATCAAAAAACTTAAAAAATAATGGTTATGACAATTGTCGCTTATCTAGAGTACATCTTCACTAAATTTTTATTTAAACATGTTATATATACTTATTTTAACATATTTTCGTCAAAAAAATTCAAAAAATTTTAAAAATAACCCATATGACAATTGTCACTTTTCATTGTCTTCACTAAATTTATATTTAAACATCTTTTTAATACTTATTTTAACATATTTTCGTCAAAAAAATTAAAAAAACTTTAAACATAACGATTATGACAATGTCAATTTTCTATGGTACATCTTCACTAAATTTTATTTAAATATGTTATCAATACTTATTTTAACATATTTTCTTCAAAAAAATTCAAAAAACTTAAAAAATAACGATTATGACAATTGTCACTTTTCTATGGTACATCTTCACTAAATTTTTATTTAAACATGTTTTTAATACTTATTTTAACATATTTTCTTCAAAAAAATTCAAAAAACTTATAAAATAACAATTATGACAATTGTCAATTTTCTATGGTACATCTTCACTAAATTTTTATTTAAACATGTTATTAATACTTATTTTAACATATTGTCGTCAAAAAAATTCAAAAAACTTTAAAAATAACGATTATGACAATTGTCACATTAAAATATTATCCTTAAAAAGATCATATAAAATCATCAAAAAAGTTTCATAAAATCCACCTCATTTAATAAAAAATAGATAATTTTAAAAAAATTATAAAAGATTTCACCTAAAAGATTGTTTATTTATCTAATAAAATTTACAATATAATTCCTCAATAAAAGATGTATTTATAAAGAAGATTGTGAAAATCACTAATAAATTATATTAAAAAGAATATTACAATTTTACAATATAGCAGCATATTATTTTTTTTATTAAAATAACATCAAATAAATTTATTTTCATTTCAAAATATAATAATATAAATAAAAACTATTAAATCATATCATGTTTATTTGTTGATAATAATAAAATATTTACATTAAATATAAATAAAATAAATTATTTTACTAAAATAAATAAATAATAATTAATACTAAGCATCGAAGCAGAATTTTGACTAATTTAATTTTAGCAGATTTATATAGGCTTAGCCGATTTTTAGGCTTAACCTAATTAGGCTTAGCCGATTTTTAGGTTTAGCTAGTGTTGTAAACGAGCGCGTTCAATACGAAGTTCGTTTTTTTGAAAAAAGGTGATGAACGGCGTTCCTTTTTTTTGACGAACTTTGAACGTGAACGCGTTCCTTTTCTTTGATTAACGCGTTCAATTTTGCGTTCGTTCAATTTTAAAAACACTTTTTATTTTTATTTATTTGAAAAATTAATATTAATCCGCATTTTTTAACAAAAAAGTCTTATATTTTTATTTATTTGAAAAATTAATATTTAATCCATTTTTTAACATAAAAGTCTTATATTTTTTAATCAGCTGTTTTTACTTTTTCCTCTTTCATATTGCAATTAACGTACCATAACGTGCTACTGCTAGAGAAGATAAGATTAAAGTTTATTAATTTAAATATTTTATATTTTAATTTAATAGATTAGGATTTACAAGGATATAAATATTTCATCATCAGATTCTGAAAATAAAAATTCAATATTAGATGAATTAGAATTACCATGGCCCTATCAAAAATATTTCACTGTTTTAAAATCAATTCCGAGATATCCTTTTTTTTTAACGAGGAAGAAGAGGGCAGATTGGAGGATGATAACAGCTCAATTTTTTGAGACAATGGATAAAACATTAAATGTTTTTAATAAATTCCCCCTTTTAAAAGAATGTTTATCAAGTATAACACCGCAATCCCTTCATCTGCCCCTGTTGAGCGAGTTTTTAGTATAGCTAACGCTGTATTAAGTGCCAAGCGTTCATGCCTATCAGATGAAAATTTTGGAAAGCAATTATTATTAAAAATTAATAAGAAAAATTTTTTATAAATTTATTTTTTTATCGCTCTATTATATTGTATTTATAATTATATTGTATTTATAATTATATTATCAAAATAAAACTATTATTTTTTATCATGGCTAATATATTGGGTTGAAAAATATAAGGCATTTATTTATATTAAATTAAATTTAAAAAAAAATTTATCATAAAATTTTGAACGCAAGAACGCGTTCACGAACTTGAACGCGTTCCTTTTTTTGAATTTGAACGTGAACGCGTTCGATTTTTGTCAATGAACGTTGAACGCGTTCGATTTTTTTTTAAATGTTAACAGCACTAGGTTTAGCCGATTTTTAGGCTTACCGGCTTAGCCTTATTAGGCTTAGGCGTAGTTTTTAGCCGATTACGCAACACTACTCCTCACTTAAAAATAAATTTTAATATAAAAAGAACAGATATATTATATAAATTGTGGTTTATAAATGTTATAATCAAGGTATCGCTAAATTATTATAATATTATAATGACTAATTTATTAAATATTCTAATAACTCAAAAAGGATGATACATGATATTGAATTTTTTATCTCCACTCATTGTTAAATTATCAAATAATTACTAAATTATTATGTGCAATGGTTAATTGTATTATTGTATTATTGTAATTCCTAATTCATTTTAAAATAATTTTAAAAAATAATAGATATGAAAAAATTCTAACCTACACTCGTTGCTATAAAATATTCTTGTAATGGCTAATATATAATATCCTGTTTGAACTCTATAAAATTTAATAAAAATTTTAATAAACGTTAAAATTATTATATTCAAGAGTATAAAGTGGCAACATCCAATCATGAAAAATTCGCAATTTTTTATATGAAAGTTATATACCATTTATAGTAAACGCGTTATTCGAGCGTTGTGTTATTTAGCGCAGCATTATTACAGCTGATTCCGTTTTAAAAATAATTTAATATAAAGCTAAAATAGAGATAATTATTTTATATAATATTTAAGAAAAATCATATACCCATTTATCGAATTCGCTATTATTTTTATAATCGTATCGCATATTTTTTATCAACGTATCGAAACATATGTTTTTCAAATTTTATCATAGCGTTATCATCATAATGCTTCATATTTATAAATTTATACTTATTTATTGGCTTATTCATGTGCATTTTAATAGTGTTAAAAGATATGTAGTGCTCAAAACATGACATGATGTACTAACAAAATCGTAACGATTTTTGCACATCAAGATTACCACTTCTACTTTATGATGCCTTGAGGGCAGCGTTGACAGATCCTGCCACTTCTACCATGGCTGATGCTATAGTTTTAAATTGCAAATCATGTCGAAGGATAAAGGGTTTGCAATAAATGAAATTGGAAAAAGATTGCATCATTAATTTAAGAAATATAATTTAAATTATTGTCTCCCTTTTTAGCCAACATATCAATATTTTGAAACTTAAACATTTCTTCAAAAACTTGGCTCAAATTCAAATAATAAAACTAACTGCTTCGATATCATCTTTAACAAATGTCTCTTCCGCCATTCTCTTAAAAAAATTGCATTATTATCAAATTAATCAAACATTAGTTTGCCAATTTAATTTGCTTTATTGCAAACCTTTATATCCTTCGAAATAGTTTGCAATTTTGTACAAACCAAGCTTGTTATAAACAATATTTTATCTAAAACATAAAGTGATAAAATAAAAATTTTTATTTTAAAAACAATAGCACTAGCCATGGTAGAAGTGGCAGAATCTTCAGAATCCTTTATTGTCAAAGCTGCCATCAAGGCATCAAAAATGTTTTACAATAGCCTTATATGATGATAACCAGCATCTATAAATATAAAATAATAAATATAAAATAAACATTTTAAATCTAAACGAATAATAAAATATTACCGAGTGGTATTCTTTATGCGTAAAAATAGTCGCGATTTTGTTAGTATATTATTCTGACATGATTTGAGCACTGAAATATACACGAATCTCGTCTAAGAATCCTAAAATTCTTTACTGATTGACATAATTGAACAATGATTAAATTTAATGATGGCAATGGCACCAATTATATGCTACCTTTGGGGTTTCAGTTCTAATCAAAGCCTGTACTCCAATGATCCTTTCACTAAGCACCATCACAACTAAGAAAATAAGGGGTAGAACCCGTACAATATATTAGTGATCTTCGGGCCTAATTCTTCAAGTCCAGCCCAGCCCGAAATTTTTTTTAAAAAATTATCCAGACCCGGCCTGGCCCGAATATATTTAAATATAGAAATTAATTTTTATAATTACACAAAATAAAAGACATATGTTATATGTCGTTTAGTTTCAATAAATAAAATCATATATTTTTATTTTACATAAAAAATTCAATATAAAATTGATAAATTTAGATGTATTTAAAAAAATTTCCAAAATCCGACCCGACCCGGCCCGAATTTTTTAAAAAATATTAGGCCCGCCAAACCCGATTATTTAAAATAGAATTAGGCCCAAGCCCCGCCCGAAGCCCGTTCGGGCCGGGCCTAACTTTGCAGATCTCTATAATATATATTTATTAGTTTTTTTAACTGACTTAGGCGTTTCACCCTTTTCAATATATCCTGCTAATAAAGTTATTGCTATATTATTATATGGTAAAAGATTGTATCCCTTCTTTTTTTTCATTTTTTTGTATAAGTGCAGGATCTGCAATAAGTTTTAGACCTATCATTTTGCTCACTTGCTGTGTGTTCGCCCAGAAGGCTTGACTATGAGAAATCAAATAACCAAAACATCTTATTATTATTTTTATGATTCATTATTGACACATTTTTGGAGGGTATTAGATATTTTAATGACGATTTGTTATTGGCAAGTCTTCGATAATCAGACAGACATCATATATGTCTGTGAAGATTCATGTGCAATAGTAACGCGATTGATATTCTGTCATTTATCCATGCCTTATAAATTAAATTACATTTTAAAATAAAAAAAAATTTTTTTAAAAAAAGTACGTCCCATAGCCAAAGGGATACAATATTTTCTAAAAAATGTACCCCCTATCAAATTTTAAGAAGCAGTTGCTTCATACCCTCATCATTGTAGGGGCCCCTGCGTGCTTAAATGTTATAAATACCTAATCCGAATCTATATCCATCAGCGAATCTTGTGCTGGCGTTGTGAAATACACAGGCACTATCCACTTTGCTAAGAAACTTTTGGGCAGATTCATCTTAAAAAATATATTTAGAGAAAGATAATAAAACAAACAAATTGCGAATAAAATTTTATTATAAGGTTCTATTTTCAAATTATTTTTTGTTTTTAGAGTGATACAAGATATATAATATATATTCAGATCAGGGGGAGGGGAGTTATAAATAAATCGGGCATTAAATTAAAAATATTTCTATGATTAATATAACTTTTACAAGTATCTAGTGATCAACTTAAATGGGTGTATTAAACTCACCGTTATCCGTCACTATACAATCCGTATGAGAGCTTCCGTATTGGTTGATGTGGTCTATAGCGTGATCGATATCCTCAACTATTTCCACACTGCATTGCAAATCTCCGTATTCTTTGAACAAAAGGTCATTATTGGAAGAAGACGTCGCCGTTGAAAGGGGGAAAAATGAGGAAATTTGGTCAATAAATATTAAATTCTGTATAAGTCTTGGGCCGGGATGCATAATTACCTTTAAAATAAAATTAATTTTAATTATAACCGATGTCCCCTTTAAAAATTTAGAGTAAACAAAATATATTTCTAATTATTATGGTCCATTTTCAATAAAAATTGAAATTCCGAATCCCCATGGATTTCATATCTCAATATGGCACATATATAATACAATTCTATTCATACATTTTCGTTATTCAACATATGATAAATCTGCTGAAAGGTTCCATTTCGTCCCAGGTCTTTGTGCAATAGAAGAGTCTCCATAGCATTACAAGCAGAAGGATATTCGCATTTGCTATCCCTAACTTAAGGTTTTTTATTATTATTATGAATAATAATAAACTTGATAAGAATAAACCTTCAAAAGGGTGGCCACTTAAAGATTTAGTCGACATATAGATATAACCAATATATAAAATATTTCGATAAGTATGGAAGAAAGCGGGCAAGACATAAAGGGTCTAAGATATAGAGATGGACACTGTGAAAAGGTATTCATCTTTGAAAATTTCACTGAATTGATCCAGAACCCTGAAGCCGATTAACAATATAAAGAAAACTAAATATGTTTTAATATTATAGTATCATATATTGTTTTGAATAATATATAAGAAGTTTTAATTCTTTTAAATCTAAATTAACAAATAATTTTTTTAAAAAAATTATTATTTATTTACCGATTTTAAGGCTCATTTGCAGATCAGCATCTCGATCCAAATAAACGTGACAAATGCCTTCACTGTGACCTAAAACTGGAATACCTAATTTTTTTTATAAAAAGGAGGGAGGGGGGAATTCAAACAAATAAATAAAATCTAGTAATATAATTTCATTAGTCCAGTAACGTCGCTAGCTCTTAAAATTTAGATGAGTTAAAAACACAGGTGTAGCTAGAGTTGAGAAAAAACGTGAACGTTTAAATATAAGTTATAAGGATAACTTTATTTTAGGCGAGTTGTTTAAATTAAATTCAGGACCGCGAATAAGGCGTGTACCTCTCCCCAAGAAAATAACAGTACATTAACATTAATGACAAATCAAGAGTTTAATATGAATCACGAGAAATGAATTAATAATTAACCATTTGATTTTTCTTGAATAGTTGAAACCAACTGTTTGGATCCTCTAGGAATAACGAGATCAATTTTATTCTTCAGTTTCAACAGTGAATCGATATCTTCCCTATTATTTATCTGATTTGTAAATTAACTTTAAATATTTCGAAATATATAAAAACCGTTTTCAAAAAAATAATTCTTTATTAGATAAAAAAACAGGACTGTTGACTCTGTTAGAAGTAAAATTTAATGTTGCGTTAGATAAAATTGAAAACATTTTTTTTCTATCTATCTCATTATTTTGTTCTTCCTCTTCTTACTTCTGTTGAAGTTTAAAAAAATAATATAATTAAGTAGGCAGGAAGGAAAGAAAGAATCTTAAACCAGTGAAATAGCATCTTGACAACCATATCTTTCCAGGATATATTTGATGATATTATACAAGCATTCGTTACTGTGTGAGGCTTCCTTACCACCCTTGAGCAAAAGGCCATTAGCAGTGGCAATGGATAAAGCTCCTATCTAAAAATTTACAATATAGTATTCATTAACAATATTATTTATAAATACTAACCTGCGGTAAAGAATCAGGTCTTGATTCGAAAATGATAAGTAGTACTCCTATGGGGACTGTTAGCTTGAGTAATTCCAGGTTTTTAGCTATCAATGTTCTCTCCAAAACCCTATTAACAATATCTTGATCACTCCTAAGTTTGTTAGATATTAATCTGAGGCCATCTGCTAGATCTTTCAATTTTGCAGTGGTCAATTTAAGCCTATTTAGGAGTTGAGGAGATAATTCTTTATAAACATTATTAGAAATATTATAAAAAGAGTCCTTTCACATAACAATGGCTCATCAACTAATGTAATAAATACTTAAGTGTGCCATAAAATGATCGAGGTTAATTAAAATGATTAATAAATATTCGAATATAATTTTTTTTTAAATTTAAATTAAATACTATTTAATTTAGCCCTTTCTAGATCTTTCTCATTGCATTGTATTATGTGTCCTTGTTGGGATATGAGGGAGTTAGCAATTTCATCGATAATATTAGCTCTTTGGGTTGATGTGAGTTCAGTCAATTTTCTGCTGCCCTTCCTTGCTGATTTTGAAAACAAATTTTATTTTAATCCTTGTTGCATTTTGATAAATTTATAATTTGCCAAAAGTAAAACTTAAAAAAATATTGGAGGGCAAGAATGATATATAAATACCAGAAAGAAGATTATTAAAAAAGTGGGGTGGGTGTCGATGTGTCATCTCATTTTGTTAAGTTAGATTAGGTAGTAGAATATTTTTTGCGATTTTAAACTAGCACTGTCCTATGGTTAGAAATGTCACTGTTATTAACAAATGATTTCCACCTCATTCCTCTATAAATATCAAATATTAAAGTATAAAAAAAGGGAAAAGGCATATGTAAGATAAAAAACCCGAATCGGCCAAATCTTCAACATAGTAAGGAAGTTTATCATTGACACTTTTAGAAACATTGTTATCGTTTTTAATGGTAGAAGGACAGGTGTTAACAAAGAATGTTCCTATATTTTTGCCGTTTATGATTTGATTTAAAGAATTGGGTTGCGTTCCGTCGCATATTATGACGGAACAACCGTTGTTTAAAGCATAAGTAGCGGCATTAATCTACAATATTTTTTTTTGAATTTATTTTATTTGTTTACTCTTTAATTATCTCTCTCTTTTTTTTATTCGTTATTTTCTGGTCTTTTCTTTGTCATATTTTGTTTTACATCCTATCTTATAGTTTTATAAGCTATTATTTCCTCCCTTGATTCATGTATTCATTCCCAAGATGGTAATTAAATGGAAGTAATTATAATATATTAGTTGTAAAAAAAATAAAAACTTTGGATTCCATCCCACCTGTACCAACCCTGGATTTGTGGCCCAGCTTCACTTTTCCCCAGTGCAAAGATGGACAGAAAACGTCCATAAGTTCGGCTCCTTTCTTATGAGAGGGAAAGTCGGAATATGAACCCGTGTTTAACGAAGGAGGCGTCGTATAGATGCCCGGCACATCCGACATTATAACTAGCAAATCGGCTTTAAGGTCCACAGATAAATGGGTAGCTACTACATCGTTGTCTTTCACACTTATAATCTAAGTGATGAGAATGATAATATAATAATATTATATCTTATCATCTTTAGTATAATATGTTTTTTTATATATAAAACTAGAATTGATTTCCCCATTTTTGACGTTAAAATCAATATCATAAAATCGGAATTAATTAGAGTTAAAAAAAATGGGGGGAGGGGGGGATAGCGGAAAATATTTATTTTTTGTTTCATTTTTATTTTTCAGACATTTTTTTATTACCCGAATACCTTTTTTTGGAATAAAAATATAGTTGCTTAGTTATCATCAAGAAATATAGTTTCATCCCCAATCGTGACGAAGTATACAAATGGCGGTGAATACAGCATATTTTTTATACTTCGCCGCGAATTCGCGCTAACTGTGAATTCAGGATTCTTTTAAAACTTAATTTTTATTTTGAAAATCGTTTAATTTGAGGACGGCCTTAGAAGGAGGTTGAAATTGTAAAAAAATATCGATGGTTAACCCCAATCAGGTCGCTGTTCAATTTAGGAGGTGGGGCAATGGCATCGTTAGCATTGATTATGGGACATATCTTCAAGGCCAGAAGTTGCTGTATAGTGGATCTCAAATTGTCACGACAAAATTTGTCATTAAAGTCCGGTTGAGTCAAAAGCACCTTAATATTATAATTATTGAATTATTATAGAATATCTAGGGAAAGGTTTTAAGAAAAAGTTGAAAAGTATCATAAAAAACTTAAAAATTCTTATCTCATTTGCCCATGATAATATATAACAAACCCAAAATATGGGTCTGTAAGAGATCGATGATGATATTGTAATAACATTCATAGCTAAATTCAAAAGAGGGTGGCTTCTCCTAATTCTTTTATTCAAGATTAAAAGGAATATGATTTTAATTTAATATATTTAATTTTTTTACCTGCGCTGTTTTTATACCGTATTGCGCAAACATGGCATCGTATAAAGCCATAAGGCCACTTTGTCCAAGAGCAGCAAAAGCCCTAGAGTCGATATTGTTGTATATACGATTACCATTACTGCTGTCTGCATTTTTATTTAAATAGTTATCCAAATTTTTGTTATCCTCATTTGTAGTACCCAGATTATTTTGATGTAATGTTGATTCTTTTTTCTGGAAGAATGTTATTTTAAAGAAAAAATTTTAAAATTATTATTTGACTATTTGGATTAAACCAGCAATAGGTATTAAAACTTATAGAAAAAATGAGAAAATATTTATGATGATAAAAATATTATATATTTTTTGAAAGCATTAAAAACTTTCTTTCTTTTTCTTTTCTTTATTATCTTCATTTTACAATATAGTAAAATCGTTTTATTCAAAATCTTTTATCCATAAAAACACCGGTCATGAAAGAACTAAAGTTAAATCACATTCATTATAAATCGTCATTGTTAGTATATATAGGGGTAATTCCCTGACACAGCGATTCAGCCGATAATTTCAAAAATGAATGAAACTTGGCATGTTAGTTATTTATGTTGTAAATTTTAATAAAATCAAAATTTTAGAGTGCTAGCTCAACCAGATCCAAAGATATATGTCTTCAAAGTCGAAAATCGCGAAGTGCGTGATTTCATTAAATCTTGTTATTTTAAAAAATACTTAAGATAGAGTATCATTTTATAGCCCTTAAAATTTTACCTGGAAAATATAAAAAAATTTCAAGTGTTTTCTTATTTCCGGTAAAAATAAAAAATTAACATTGTTAGGAAGGGATTTTTTTTGGGTGTTAATATTCACTAATAAAATTTATTACCTTTATATTAAACGATTTAATTTAAAATCTCGATAGCCATTTTTGTTTTTTTAATTTTATTTGAATTTTTATTATTTTTATAAATAAAAAAATGTAATATAGATGGCGTTATATTATATTTTTTTGTATATAATATTTAATAAAAATATGAATAGTATTGTGATTAAAATTAAAAAATCAATTGAGTATAACCAAGAATAATGTGCTGGGGCATGTAAGCAGACAGCCCACACAGATATTATTTTATTGACGCTATATTGTAAAATAAACATATTTTAAAATTTTATATTCAAACTATTATAATTTTGCGCTTACTAAGGCCAAAATTTGTAAATATATCCTTTCATTGTTGTGGATCTATTATCGTTATTATTTGAAAATAACGATTTTATCAGCTTATTTATTTTTTTTATTCCTATCATAGCTACCAATCAAACATCATATATTTCAAAACTTAAACATTTTTTACAACCAAATGAATTTATTATAATTTGTGATTTCTTTGAAAATTATGCATTTATAATCTAAGACACTGTTCAAAAAATAATCAAGCCACTATCGATCCAATGATAGCATAATATAATAATGGCAATATAGAAAACCTTAATTATATGGTAATACAGAGTCACTTTAACAGGATGTTATTGCTGTACATTTATACCAGACTAAAATGATAAAATTTTTGACCAATCAATTCAGCAAAAGGCCAAACAATATATTACTGCTCTGACGGATCAGCTGCGCAATATAAAAACAGAAAATTTTTTATAAATCTGTGTTACCATGAATCAGATTTTGGTGTAGAAGCTGAATGGCATTTTTCAGCTACATTCCATGGAAAAGGTCCATGTGACGGCCTTGGCGGAACATTAAAAAGATTAGCAGCATGTTCAAGCCTTCAGCACATCAGTTCTGGACACATTTTAACGCCAGTTGATTTATATCAGTTTACAAAACAAAACATGCCATCAGTAAATTTCACATATATAACCAACGAACAATACAATTTACAAGAGATTAAACTATGAGAAAGATTCAATTTAGCTCGTCCCATTCCAGGAACTCGGGGAATACATGCTGTATTTCCTTAGTTTAAGTAAGCTTAAATCATAAAAATATTCATATGCAAAGGACTTTCAAATTAACAATATCTCAAATGCCGATAATTTGTCTTTTGCAGATAATTTGTCTCGGGTAAAAGGATGGTGATGGTCCATGGGGATGTAAAAGGAAATATATATCTTCTAAGTAATTTAATTCTTTTTTAGTACTGTAACTAACCACCAAAAATCGTCATAAACACATGTTACAAATCCTTTTTTTTATTAAAAATTATATATTATTAAAAAAAATTAATATAACGCCATCTATATAGCATTTGTTTATTTATAAAAATTCAAATAATATTAAAAAAACAAAAATGGCTATCGAGATTTTTTATTAAATCGTTTAAAATAAAGGTAATAAGCATTTTTAGTGAATATTAACACCCCAAAAAAAATCCCTTCCTAACAATGTTAATTTTTTTATTTTCATCGGAAATAAGAAAACAGTGTATGCCTTTATATAGGCCAAGAAATTTTTTAAATTTATTTTAATATTTTCCAACGTAAAATTTTAAGGGCTATAAAATGATATATAATTTGTAACTCTATCTTAAGTATTTTTTAAAATAACAAGATTTAATGAAATCACGCACTTCGCGATTTTCGACTTTGAAGGCGTATATCTTGGATCTGGTTGAGCTAGCACTCTAAAATTTAGATTTTATTAATATTTACAACATAAAAAACAAACATGCCAAGTTTCATTCATTTTTGAGATGGTGGGCCAAAAATCTGGTTTTTTTGGTAGATTTGACGTGGAATCCCCTATAGGTTAAAGCTCTAATTAGAGAAACACTTATTAAGTTGTCAAATCATTCTAGTAGAATATAGTGTAAGGATGTATTCCATTAAGTATCTCTCAACTAAATATTTAAATTCCTGAATAATCCTATTTTTCTTGGTAATAATATACTTTAACAACGCTGGTATCGGTATATTTGTCATGGGAGCTATTATTATAATCACCATCACCATTTTGGTTGTTTTTATTATATATGTCGTATATATTTTTGAATGAATTGATCTCTTGCTTGAGTTTTTGCTTGCCGAAAGCTACAGCTCCACTGGTGACTATTAGAACCTCTCTACCTTCCTTGTACATTTCAGCCACCTTATTTATTTTATAAAAATGTTATATATACGAATAACATCGTTTGATTATAAGTGCTTTATAAATTTTTTCCCCTCTCAAATATAAGTTGGTAAATTACTATATTTGTGCCGTTTAAGACAATTTTTAGCCGGCTAAACCGAGCGGCTTCGTGTTGCCGGATTTTCTCCGGTACGTGTCATTTTGGTTACCCATATTATTATTAAAAAATTTTAACGATAGGCCAATATATTACTAAGTCTGATGCAAACTTTATTCAAGAATTGCCTGATCATCGAGATAATAAGGAAACAAGTTATCATATTTAATAGTAGTGGGTTATTAAAATGGTGGGTTCAGCTGATTTGAATTCAACGACGCTATCTAATGCATTATTATGAATGCATCGTATGTCATTGCTATAAACATGGAAATTTAAATATAATATCATAATTAAATATAATTTTTATGATTTATTATTTAATTTTGAAAATGAAATTTATATTTTCAATTTGTATTATAAACCTTAATCATCTGGTCTAAATTATTAAAAATGTCATCGCAAATGGATATTCAAATCGATGAGTCATACAATGATGATATTAATGCAATGGAGGGTACCCTGGAAGAAAATGTTCTTGATAACAATAATACACATTTTCCATTTCCAAAATTTGAAAAATATTTTCAAATTAATGTAAAAACAACAAATGGCTACAAATTAATTTGTTTAAAATGTAAAATAAATATACCCTCAAATAAATCTAGTAGCTATAACTTCAAAAAACACCTAAAGGTAATTGTCATTTTTAAATTTTAATAGAAATAATTTTATAAGAATGTTCATGCCAACAGTTTTAAAGAGATATAAAAAACATCGTAATAATTTTGGTGTTTGTTTATCATTTATATCTTTCTCTTTGTTTATACCATACTCGTATATTACCATTCACTTTTTTCCTTTGTTCACTTATACCACCCTTTTTGATTTCATCCTCAAAACTGGTTCTAGCCAGTTTTCAAGATGGACATGATGGAAATTAATATTTGTTTATTATCATTTAGTTAAAAAAAATGGGGACTATATAAGACCTCGGAAAAATAAATTGCATTCATTAAGTATTTGATTTATTCCTTTTTTATTCTGTTTTATCATTTAATGAAATTCGACTGTATGATTTACAATAAAATAAATTCGTTACCTAATTTACTCGACGTTATCCGTGACCCCATGACATATCGATACCCAAACCCGGCCCCCTGGATCCCATTATCGACCATCCCGGACAGTATCTTTTCATCCCTGACGGTGGAACCCGTCTGTCTAAAATCAACACCAATAATTCACAGAAACTGACTGATAAAGTCATTGTCGATTTTATATAGGGCTGTGCCGATTAACATATTTTTCCCCGATCCGATCCGATATTGGTTTGAAACCGATCCGATATTTATACTGATTTTTTACCACCCCCCCCCCTTTGAACCAAAATTAAGAAATCAACATTTTTTATGCAAAAGTCGAATTAATTAATCTTTCATTATTCCTCCTCGTGATTAGAATTCCGCAGATAACGCATTTTGCAAAATTATCTTTGTCTTTTGTAAAATATTTCCATAATTCAGACACCATATCTAAAAAGTTTTTTTATTCAAAGTTAAAATAATAAAATGGGCTTTATCTTTAAGAAGATTTAAAATAAATAAAACTTAGGGTGTTCCTTTCTATTTTTACAAAAAAACTTTTAAAATACTATAAATCTATTTAAAAATAAATAAAATTTAGGGGGTTATGTGCATTTTCATTGTTTAAAAAAATATATTTAGAAAATATTATAAAAATGTAAAATATACAAAACATAAAAAAAGATCGGATAAATCTTTTACAGGTATCGGCCTGATCCGATATTTTTTTTATAATTGATACAGTTCAGCCAATGTTGGTTGATAATTCATCATTTATCACATTGATTAAAACTCCATCCCCTGGTACAATAATTTTATGTCATCAGAAGGGATGTACCGATATTTTTTATCGGATCGGGCCGATATTTCACCTATTTTAAAATATCGGTTATCGGCCAATATTATAAAATTTTCCGATCCGATCCGATATAAAATGGCATCTTTAACAAAAATAAAATGTTATAAATTTTTAAAAAAAAGTTATATCTAAAATCATTTATTTTTATAAATATCGAAATCCATATTTCTTTAATATTAATAATTAATTAATAAACATTCTGCCATATTGTTAATTTTTTTGCGCATTCTGTTTATAAAAGTGTGCGATAATCTCTTCAGAATCTTTTTTTAGTGGTGATATTGACAGTTACCATCGCTGCAGGCTGATTTCTAAAAAGAAATCTTCGATATATTAATGTTAAATATTATTTTAAATATTTATTCAAATTTAATAATATATTTGTTTATTACTTATTATGTATATAGATTAGGCCTACAAAAAAACGAATCGAATCAAATAATACTATTATTCATATTCGATTCGAAAATTCGAATCGAATAATTGCGCTATTCGTATTCGTACGAATAATAAAATCATTATTCGTTTCGATTCGTCGAATATTCGATTCGATTCGAAATTTTTTCTAAAGCTTATAAAATATTTTGCAAAAAATTTTTTACAGATGTTTAAAGATGACACTTTTAAGGATTCTCTAAACTAATTGTCATTACAATATAAAAATTTATTGAAAATAAACGAAATAAAACCCAATGATTTCATATAACGTTAACCAAACAAATTGACCAAAATATCCGATTTTTAGCATTAGAATTGCTTATAAAAAAATATTTAAACTATTTCTTCAATCTAATATTAAAATTTTATTAAAATTTTCTAAAAATGTACAATAATCTCATTTTATAAAAGTAGAAATAATACATAAAAATATAAAATTATAGTAAATCCGAATTTGATAATATCCAATTTTTTAAGCATAAAGTCTTTCTAATAGTTTTCTCATTCAAAGACATTCTATTTTTCATTATCATATTTGTTCCTGTTGAGAACAACCGCTCACATGAAGCCGAAGATCCCTGAATTGACAATATATCAGTTGCCACTTTCGACAACACAGGAAAACGATCCCCATGCAATCTCCACCATTCTAAGGGACTCTTATTTGAACTGATTCTTATTTCGTTAAGATATGTCTCCACCTCACATACTGATGCGATGTTATTTTGTTTAAAATTCCTATCCATGTTCGACTGTACTATTGGGTTAACTGATGTTGATTTGATATTATATTTTGTAATCATTATATACATCTTTAAATTTTTCTAATAGATTTGTCGTGTCTATGTTATATGTAGTTTGTAGTTGCTCAAAAAATTCCATTTTTAGTCTAGGATCCAGTATTGTTGATATTATAGTGTGAATATTTGTTAAGTTATAATAAGTTTCTATTTTCTCAATCGCACTGATAGATATTTGCGAATAATTACGAATATTTATATATAAATAATTTCGAATAATACGAATAATTCTCCTCATTATTCATATTCGATTCGAAATTTCGAATCGAATAATTGTGTTATTTGTATTCGTAAAATACGAATCGAATTGAATCGAATATCAAATAACAAATAATTCGTTTTAGGCCTAATATAGATTTATGTTGTTACTTATTATATCATAGTGATTTAACAATAAAAATATTTTATATACTTTTAGAGTTGCAATAGAATTGAATAAACTGATCATTATAAAATATTTAAATGACATAAGTTATGATATAATTAAATTATAGGTGTTATACTAATAAAAAGTATATTACAAATTAAAACCATTGGTATCTTTACAGAATACAAAATTAGATATGATATCGGATCGGTAACCGGCCGATATCAATTTAATATCGGGAATATCGGATCGGCCTCCAAAAGTGATATCGGTACACCTCTAGATTAAGATATAAGATAACTTTGAAGTGATGAAAGATTCTCTAATGGCAGAGTTGTCAGAGATATCCTATATATGTACCACGGCAGATGACAAATAACAGATAAAAACTTATTTATTTTTATAAATTGATTTGACATTAATGCTTTTAGAGCTTATTTGAGAATCACAGGTCATTGGCTAGACCCTAAGACTTTAAAATGAAGATCTTTAGCATTAGCCCTCATAAGGATAATAAGATGCCAGAAATAAGATGTACTTGCAAATAAAATTTATGATTCACCCCTTCTCTAAAACTAAGTCCATATATCAATTCCGGACGCTAAAAAAACAACGTGATAGACTAATGGTAAAGTTGAATAGTCTATACCAAACAAAGATGCCTTAGTTACAACCACAAAAATGACTTTCACTGATAATATTTTTGAAATAGAGGATACCAATATAATAAAAAATCCTCTAGACGCGTTTTTTAAATTTAACAATACAAATAAGCAGGGTTGGCAAGTCGGTCAATTGACCAGTCAAAAAGGAAAAATAAATTAAAAATATGTTTAAAAAAGGGAAAAACGATGTAAATACATGTGATCACAGTGTTTGCTTATTTTTTGTGTCCACAATATCAAGAGGAGAACTCAATAGTAGTGAAATCAATGAAGTATGTAATATAATTCAAGAATTAGCTATTTTACAAGGTAGTGATGACCAAAATATTTTAAGTGATATAATTAATTTTAGAAGCAAAAACAGCATGTTTAATATAGCAAATTATGTGGAAAGTAGTAATTTCTAGAAACAATCAATTCCGACCTCTAGTTAATAGATTAAACTTTGTCCACCCTACTCATTAAGAGACTAACAATTCCTAGTTCTACTTCTTCTTTAGTAGAGAAATAGGTCGATTTGGGTTAATATTCTTATAAAAATAAAAATCGATTGAAGATCTAAGACATCAGGAAAATTGATAAAAAATATTAAAGAAAATGATAATATTGTATATGAATAAGAACAAAACTCTGCTACGCTACACGTTAGTTATTGAATGACAATGAATTTAACCCTGCAAATGAGTATTTTAGATAATTTTTCTTATATTAAAAATATCCATATAAAATTAAATACAGCCTTGCCCTCAAGTGCTAGTGTTGATAGATTATTTATAGACGAACATATACTTTCTGATCGTCACTCTAGACTTGGGAATGAATAGTATAAAAATGATTTTATCATTAAAATGCAACAAAATAAATAAAAAATGAATATTACCATAAATATATATTTTTATTACATAAATTTTTTTATAATCAAAACTTAATATTTATAAATGTTGATTTTTATATACAGTTACATTATAAGCAAAAAAATAAATAAATTTATTTCTAAATATTTTTTACAAAAAGTAACTAATAGGCGCTACTTTTTTTTGATGGGTATCGATAGCGATAGCGCGCTTGAAAGTAGATTTTAACAATGCTGATATTATAAATATTCAAATGAAATTTGATGTGAATTTATTTGATATAATATTACAATTATTAGTGTATGGTATAAATATTAGTGATGTGCATCGGGCCTAATTTTTCAAGCCAGGGTTTGACACTTTTATAAACTAAAAATAAAATAATGAATGTTGAAGCATAGCAATTAACTTTATTAGAAAAATAAAATATAATATACTGTACTTATTTACAAATATAACAAAATTTTGATTCTTTAAAATATATATTTGATAAATTTCTTACTCTAAATAGATTTTAAAACAAAAATCAAGAATAATTAGACACATTAAAAAAAGTGGACTAATCGATGATTATTAGGTCTTCTTTTTTTTTATAAAGGTCCTGTATGACACATATAAAACAAAAATGAATAGGATGTAATAACTCAAAGGCTGAATAGCTTAAACAGAAATAAGTTTCAAAAATAATTATAGCGTTTGTACGACCTTACAACTTCTTTTTAAAATGAGCAATAATATAGAAAAATACATAATACAGTAAAACTCCGGTTTATAATAACTTCGTTTTTTACACGACATTTCAAAAATTCTTATATAAATTATAAATATTTGCGAATATGTATTTTCTGATTAAAGAATTTCTTTCATTGAGTTAAGGTGATTTGTGATTTTATTTTATGTGATAATATTTTAAAAATAATTTATAGGAGATGGATGAGTGGATGGGAAAATATAAAGTTGCGAAATAATTGATGACATATTTTAAACAAATAAAATTAGTTATATTTAAATTTAAACTGTGTTTTTTAAATTACCCCTTTCTTACACCTAAAAAATCTAGTTTAAAAATTATTCCATACTGCAAAAAAAGCTCAATAAGCTCCTTTCAAAATATTCTTTCTATTCGTTCTTTTTTTCCTTTCTTTCGTTCGTTCTTACTTATTGATATTTTTAAAAAAAACTAATTTGATAAATGACAGTTAAAATTAACATTTTTTTTAAAAGAAAAGGTCAATTTTAAATGAAAAATTTTGCCTTCAAATTGAAATTAAAAATGTTAAAGAGTAAATTTAATCATTATTCTATACATGATTATAATATTTTTGCATATTTTAATACACTATAAATAGGTCAATTAATGAAAAAATTTTAAAGTTAATCAAAAATTTTACGCCTATATATATTTTTTTGATTATTGTATAAAACTAGGTTAATTTAAAATTTAAATTTTCATAAAATTATTAATAAATAATAGTGCTGTATACATTAAAAAAAGGAATTTGTTCGCGTTCGTTGTTCATTGGCAAAAGATCGAATAAATCCCGCCCAACATTAATTTGCAATAAAAAAGGAACGCGATATAACTCTATTTTAAAATGTTTAATGCGTTTTACTGGATCTGAGGATGGTATTGCATGTTTTATTCAATGACGTATATATATTATTAGATTGTCGATTCATTCATTATATACATTGAAAAGTGTCCATAAATAGGAGTTAGCGGTAACGCCATTCATTTTATAGTTTGCACGTCATTTAAATGGCATTAATATAATGATAATTAAAAACAATTAGTTGAAGTGCAAACCAAAAAATAGCGCCTTAGCTGACTCATATACATGGACACTTTTAATTAATGAATCGCCAATCTAGCAACATATATACAACATTGGTTTTATTTGATGAATAATTATTCTTGTAATTTATTTTTAAAAAAATTTCAATCATTGTTTTTCCACTAATTTTTCGTCAAAAATTAAGATAGGACTTTCACTTTTATATAAAATGCGATGGATAATTGACGATATATAACAATATTCTTTTTTAAAGAATTAAAAGTAAAATACTTACTGTTTTTTTTAAATTATTTTGTTTTCCTCTTAATGTTTACTAAAAAAAATAGTTTAAATTATCCATCAGCGCGCTTATAACTTTTCCGATTTCATCAAAATATCGTGCTATTTAAGTCCAATTCTGGACTTTATTTTCGCGAATAAAAATTTCGGACGGATCGGTGAAAATAAGTCTGAAGATGGTGATAATAATACAGACGTGTTTCATTATAAATATTTTAAATATATACGTACTTTACAAAAGTATTTTTCTTAAAAAAATATACCTCTAATATATATTTATTTTTCAGGCGAAAATTAAACCAAGGAGGATCAAAATATTAATTAAAACATCTCCTCACCCCCAATTATTTAACTTTCCTTTCTTATGTATAAATATTATCTATTGTTTTGCTTATTAATTTTTTCGTAAGTAATATTACAATTTATGCAATATTTTATGTAAATTCAATTTTTATAATTTAAAAATACTAGCATTCTATCGGTGGTCTTGTTAATTGGTGACCTCGTGTGTAATATTTAAGTATAGTGTAAATTTGAAATTTACTTGTTCTACTATGGAAGCTAGATGCCCCAAAGCCACCCCACATTCAAGATCTCTAGTTATAACAGCACTTCCTATCTTGATTACTACCCTCCTAGCCTTGGTCTTTAGCTGGGATCTTTCGGTGAAAGGCAACTTTGTGAGAAAGGGGGAAGTAGAGGAAGACGAAGAGGGATTTAGATCTTTGTTAATAGGGATCTCTTGAATATCGGGAGCCGGGTTCATGTTTGTTGTGCCAGCTTGAAAAGAATATATGATAGCACTCGTGGAAAAGTATCGATGATTAGCAAATTTTGAAGGTTTTAATGATTTGTAATGGTATCTTAATAGGTGATTCGTTTTACTTTGTAGACCCATTTTGCAACTATTCAAAAAATCCCAAAAATTATTAAATTTTTTGGGTGAGTGATTGATTGACATTGAGCTCAGTTTACGGCAGGATATAAATATGGAATTATATGGCATGATGGATTGAAAGAGGAAATGGTTATTGGAAATAGGTCCTGACTTTAAGGACAAGAATCTTTTCGTAGCTGTTTTATGCTTACGGGGTATTTTTGCGCGTTTTATTTCTTTAAATAAAAGAATATATTATTAATAATATGAAAGATTATAATGGTTCGACTTATTATTTATACTTATTTTTTGTATTTTTATTTGTTATAAGTATTTGGTAGCATTATTATTTTTCGTATTTTTTGCTTTTAAGGCTGTTAGGCCGAAGCTATACAATAAGTAGAACCAGGACACACCCATATAACTAATATTTTTTTAAAGGATTAATTAATTGATATCATTATTGTTTCATCTCCATTTTTATAATTTTACAGGAGATGCGATTAAATTTTATGTACAAAAATATTGTTATTTGGATTTCAAAAAACTATTTATGAAAATATTTTTTTTAATTTATAAATAAATATAAATGTATTTTATATACCAAATGCAATAATAAAAATGGATAAAATTTATTAGAGATCTCTAATTAAGATAATATTTATTTTTTTAATATGAAATGAGAACAGATCTTTTGTTATAATTTTTAATTAGAAAAAAAAACACTTTAAAAATTTATAAGCAACCCCTCTTTTGTGAATTGGTTTGCGTCAATATTTAGTGCCTTATTAATTCTTTAATGTTAATCAATTTCGTCGCAACGGAATTAAGAACCAAAAACAAACTGTGATATCACGTCTTAAGCATAAAGTTGGCCAAACATCAGGGAGCATTATTTCGGAAATTCGTGTCACTAATTAGTGTGTATTTCACATTTCTTAAATGCTCCAAGCCGTTTGGTGGATAGTTAAGAAAAACAATTTTGGCAAAATAAATAAAAATCGCCAAGATTGGCATCATGTTAGAAGGAAAATTATAGAAGTAATTAACAATATGTAATGCATTATTACTCACTAGTAGTGTTGTTAAAAAGCCCGATTTAGGTCGATTTTTTAAAATGGCCCAACTAAGATTTTAGCCAAAATAAATAAAATCGCCAATATTGGCATCATACTAGAAGGAAAATTATAAAAGTAATGAACAATATGTAATGTATTATTAGTACTCACTCACTAGTTCATCGATCGGTTTTTTCAGCCAATAGATAAAAACTAGTAATAAGCGAAATAAAAATTATGGCACGTCTTAGGTACAATTTCAATCTTAAATATCGATTTTAACGTCTCAATACATGTTTCTCTTTCCCCGATTCAAGATATTTTTGAATCTTATGATTCTATGATCATCATACATGTTATTTTTACTTTTCAGTTTGTATAATAAATATAAAGTAATTTAAATCTCATTAAACAAGATAGAACGAAGATTCAGAAGGACAAAAGCAATTAAATGAATAAAATATCTAAAATAAGTTTTACTATTATTATCATTATAAAAAATCCTATCATTTTTTAAAATAAGAGACTTGATGTGGTTGTAGCTTTGTTACTTTTATATTTAAAAGCGGCATAAAAAGGTATTCAAAAAACTTGTGGAATATATCTTAACATTTGTTGAAATAGGAATAAATTAAGTTTCTTCATAATAAAGTGACAAAGTAGATTTTTCAAAAAGGAATATGACAATTAGACAAGTTTTTTGCAAAATAATTTAAAATTTATTTAAAAAAATATTTAAATAATCAAATATTTTATTTATAAATTAAAATCATAAAAATAGTTGTTTTTATATTTTAAGCATTTAATTATCAATTTAGTAAATGAAAATGGGAATTTTTCATGGGGGGGGGGGGGGTTACGCCACTGATACCTTGATTAATTCAATATAAATTAGATTAACAATCATGACTGAAAATTTATCAAAATTTAAAATAAAAATGAAGGAATTTGGTTAAAAACTTGGCTTAATATTTATAAAATTTAAAAAATAAATAAAAGTAATTTTATAATAAAATAAAATATTGTTTTTCCCATATTTTTTAAGAAAAATTTTTAAGTAAAGAGTAACATTTTATATTACCATTACTCAAAAAAAAATGCAAGGTAACAAATGGCATCCTTTTCCTTCAAAAAATGTAACGTTGCTGCTTTTAGACGTTATTTACATAGCTATAGAAAATTAATAATGTTTAATGCTATACATCATTACCTTTTTTCTCAAAAAAAATATTATAGTTTACAATAAAAGGTTAAAAATGATGCCTAATAAGTATTCAAAATAGGAATGACAAAATTGTTTAACTTCCGTGATATGATAACTGTGGTTTCAACATTAATTAGATATTTCAATTATTATAATTGTTGTGGTTTAATATAAAAAATTAAGTTAAAATTTTAAAATGAATTCCAGTTTCAAATTTTAAAAGAGGGGTTCCAGTTCCTACCTTAGCATATATAAAATCCTAAATCAGCCATTTGTCCATAATAGTAGATGATATGAATTATTTTTTTTATCAATAGTTGTTGTTAAACCAAAAAATAGAATCAAAAATTTACCAAGTAGAAGAAATAGGATGTATACTAAGAAAAGAGAATTTTTGTGGGTTTTCTTGAAGGAGATTTTAAGACTATGTTAACTTTAATCATATAATTTTTAATCATTATATTTTTATTCTAATTAAACTTTATTGCCTAATAATAATAAATATAATGTATCATAAAAAGGTTTTTTGAACAATCATTATCTAATATTTTTATTTATTAAATCATTTTATAAATATTAAATAAATTAAAGTATTTTATAGTAAATCTTGCTTTAAAAATTGTTTGGAAGTTCCAATTGATTTAGGGTAGTATATTAAAGTTTGGATCTTTAATTATGGGCAGAAAAAACTTGAGGCAATTATAATATATTGTAAGGTAGCAAGTTTGTTTAGTTTTAAAATAATGTTCTATAAAATTTTTAATAAAATAGCAAAAATCATAGCTAATAAAATTTGAAAAAGTAATAATATGAAACAAAAATCCAATTTAAAACTTGTTATATTGATTAATAAATTTACATATTTATCTTTTTAAATATAGTTCATATTTTAAATAATAATTTGGTAAAAATTATAATATTAAATGTTTTATTAATCAAAATAAATATAAAATCATATTTATTTGATTAATTATGGCTTTGGAAAATGGCTAGAAACTATATATTTCAAATTTGTTACAAACGTTTTAACGAAAAACCTTATTAAAAATGATTATAAAGGTAATGTAATAGTTACATTAGTCTTTAAATAAAAATGTGCATACTTTATTTATAACTAATATGCACTAAGTTTTATTTTATTTTGTATTTAAAGGGTTTATAAATTATATTATCAAACATGTATTTTTTACACTAACCAAAGTCTCATTTTAATAGGTGAGCCAATTGACATGTTGCATCATATATTTTTAAAAATGAGAAAGCATATGATAAATAGTAGTTTATTAAATCGTTAAAGAATTTATAATTGACATAGGGTCAATATTATTATAAAACAAATTATATAACTCATCAAATTGGTTTAGGAATGTTTAAAATTATAATTATTTTTTAAATGTTGTTTTTGTAAATTAATATTTTATAGATAGGGTATTAATATTTAAAATGAAAAATTTATCTTATTTAAATCTTAAAATTTTAAACACGTTACAAAAAAATAAATAAAGGAATCATATATTCCAATATCAAAGCACTATTATCTATTTATCAATCAAACCTTTAATGATTATAATATCATATCAAATCAACCTCATTTTGGTTATTTTTGTATTATGTTTAATATCCTTATAAAATAATAATAATAAAAGAAAGATATATGCATATATATATGGTGAATTCCATATCAAATCAACCAAAAAAAGTCGATTCTCAACCCGACCCGCTTCAATTTTTCTTAAATTTTGCATAATGGTAGTATATACTATAACTAAGAAAAAAATGAAATTTTACCTCCCAAAAAGGTTTACCCGCTAAGATATGGGCGTTTAAAGCGCGGAAAAATGGTACATTTTTGACAAAAAGTGCCTCATTTATTTTCAAATATCTCAAGAAATAATTAAGTTAGAAAAATAATTTAAATTTTATTATGTAGCTTAATAATAGTTCTTTAATATGACATAAAAATAAATATGATATAAATTTGATGAATGTCCAAAACCGGATGTATAAAACCGGAAATGGCCATAGAAAAAAAAAGGTATTTTTTTTTTCGAAATTTTTTTTCTGTAGATAGATATAACACTGCTTTATATTTGTGCCAAATCCTAGCCTGGGATGAAAAAGGGTCTAGGAGTTATGACTCTTTATATGGCTTAAATTGATCAAAAATATCTTCATATAATGAATACTTATGAAATAATGTTTTTTTAAAAATTCTGTCTAAATGATAGGCCCTAACTTTTTTTTATTTTTAATTGTTAACATATTGTGACTAAAATTACTTGACAAAATAATTCTAAACCAATTTATAACTTGGAAAATTAAAACAGCTTACAAACAATAATGATCATTATATTATCCTCCAATAAACGATTATAAACATTGTATTGCACAAAGTCTTTGCAATCCTGCCCAGCCTGGATGTTACTTCAATAAATGTAAATTTTGTCCTGGATCATCCCAAATAAAAGAAAGACTTATTATATTATTTGATACGAATTCAATAGATTATATATCATTTTAACAATGGTTGGCAGTTGATAGAACTACGCTCGAAACGCTGACAAAATCAGCTGATGAATTTCTAGATTATTTAATTGAGAAATTAGACAATTTGATTCCACATTCATTTATCAATCATTATTTCAAAACAATTTAAAATCTAATTTAAATGTTGGCGAATACTTAGTTATTGCCGACTTTTCGGAAAATTATGCATTTATAGTGCAAGACCATGCACAGGGATTTCATTGGACAAATAATCAGTCCACTATTCACCCTTTTATCATTTATTATCGTCAGGACAACATTATAAAACATATAAGTTTAGTGGTGTTATCAGATTGTTTAAAGCACAATGCCTGTGCCTTTTATTTATTTCAAACTAAAATGATCTTATTTTTAAAAGAAAGATTTGATACATTGACCAAAATTTATTATTTTTCTGATGGGGCCGTAACCCAATATAAAAATAAAAAAAATTTCATAAATCTCTATAATCATGAATGTGATTTTGGTATAAAGGCCGAGTGGCATTTTTTTGCTACAGCTCATGGAAAAAGTCCGTGCGACAGTTTAGGAGGTATTACAAAACGGTTAGCCTAGTTTGCAACGGCCATATCAAAACCATATTTTGACACCAATGGATTTATTCGACTTTGCAACAAATAATATACATGGAGTAAATTACATTTTTGTAAGCAATAATGAATACAATAATATGGAAAATCATCTAGAAAGCAGATTTTTGAGAGCAAAAAGAATTCCGGGAACACAAAAATACCATGCTTATATTCCCCTTGACGAAAATAAAATTAAAGTCAAAATTTATTCCAATTCTTTAGATAATTTAATATATGATATATTGTAAACATAATTATGAATTATTATATTATATGTAATTATGCATTTCAGAAAAATAAAGTTATAAATTGGTTTAGAATTATTTTGTCAAGTAATTTTAGTCACAATATGTTAACAATTAAAAATAAAAAAAAGTTAGGGCCTATCATTTAGACAGAATTTTTAAAAAAACATTATTTCATAAGTATTCATTATATGAAGATATTTTTGATCAATTTAAGCCATATAAAGAGTCATAACTCCTAGACCCTTTTTCATCCCAGGCTAGGATTTGGCACAAATATAAAGCAGTGTTATATCTATCTACAGAAAAAAAATTTCGAAAAAAAAAAATACCTTTTTTTTCTATGGCCATTTCCGGTTTTATACATCCGGTTTTGGACATTCATCAAATTTATATCATATTTATTTTTATGTCATATTAAAGAACTATTATTAAGCTACATAATAAAATTTAAATTATTTTTCTAACTTAATTATTTCTTGAGATATTTGAAAATAAATGAGGCACTTTTTGTCAAAAATGTACCATTTTTCCGCGCTTTAAACGCCCATATCTTAGCGGGTAAACCTTTTTGGGAGGTAAAATTTCATTTTTTTCTTAGTTATAGTATATACTACCAGTATGCAAAATTTAAAAAAAATTGAAAGGGGTCGGGTTGAAACCTTGGTTGATTTGATATGGAATTCACCATATATATATAATATTTTTAAAATAATTATTTGATTTTATAAAATAATTATTTGATTTTATAAAATAATTTAGAGTTTATTAAATATTTATATAATATATTTAAATTAAATAAATATTTGGTAGTAAGTTAAATGTTTAGATTAATATGGTGATGCTATTATTAGACAAAACATTTACTTAAATAGATTATATAAAGGATTAAAATATAAATAAAACGCCATAAATGATAAACGAATATTACCTCCATCTACCAATACATTTCAACCGAATATATTTCGACATTTTGCACTTATTTACAAAATGCCGAAATATTACTGTGATTATTGTGATACATTTTTGACTCATGATTCAGTATTATTTCAATATTAAATCATTTAAAATAATTTTAATTATAGCCTTCTGTTAGAAAAACACACTGTAATGGGAGAAAACATAAAGAAAATGTTCGACTTTATTATCAAACATGGATGGAAGAACAGGCTCAGAAGTTAATAGATTCAACAAGTTTGATAATTAAAAATTTTTTCTTCTTATTCTAATAATATATTCGTTATTTTAACCAATATATAATAATTTAATCACATTTCATCAATATTTATCTTAAAATTCAATCAAACATAATAACAAAAATCTTAAATTAATTATACCTTTCGATATTTATAATAGCTGCTGCCTACAAAGCAGGCAAATTAACGACGCCTTTGCCTCCATTTATGCTAGGAATGATGGGCCTTCCTCCAATGCCACCTGGTATGATGCCTCCACCTCCTGGAGCTTTAGGCCTACCTCCACCTTTAGGGGGCATGCATCCACCTCCAATGGGTGGAATGATTCAACATATGCCACCAGTATATATTTTTCCTTTTAACTGCTTTTAATTTTTAAATAATTTACTATTTTTACATATCTTATTTTTTTGCATTTATAATTGCTTGGGATTGGAGAATTATATCTAAACTTCATTTATTTGAATCAGTGGTATCACTTGCTTGGACCAATTATAGTTCTTTGAAAGCTTTTCTTGTTAATTTAGGGCTGCTTGAAAAGATTTAAAAATTGATTTAGGACCTAAATTATAAAATACCTTGCAAATTTTTTTTTATTTGATATATATTAATTTAATGTCATATGATAAAACCTATATGATATTAAAATCAATATATATATTTTTTTTTCTTATAATATAATTAATTATATAATAATTTAATGTAAAACAGGGATTTCCAAATTCAATGCCTCCGATGCATATGATGCCTCCAGGTTAATTTTATTTTATGTGAAACTTTTAATTATGCAAGATGAGCATCCTTCCAAAAAGAAGAGTAAATTAGTAGATTGGAAAAGGATTTTTAATAATTATGAGCCTTATATCCAAAATTTAAGTTCAAAATGTTTCTTTTGAATAAATAATTTTTTATCTTTTGCCTTTTATTGTTTTGATATTCTTTTATTATAAAAAATCACCATTTTTTTTATGAAACATATCTTTATAGTCATTTTCTTTGTATAATATATGCTTATATTTTTCTAAGACAAAATAATGGAGATTTTATTAATAATGATTTATAAAAAAAATTTTTATAGTTTAGTATAAGAGTAAGAGAATATAAGTTTTGATCATTTACTATGTTTTCTTAATAAGCACACATTATAGAGTTAAATATTTTCCAATCTATCACTGATTCATCCTATATATTTAGTTTTTGATTATAAAATTATACTCCTGGTGACTTCAAATGGAGTCCCTACAACTAATTTATCTTCATATTACAATTAGCCTTTTTTTCTCTAGAAAAATTGATTTATGATAATAGGCTTCTATTTACCAACCATACCTGTCTAATTTCATTAGAATTATTATATAATTCTTATCAAGATTTTATTCTCTTAAAAAACTATCCAATATTGTATTAAAAAATTAAACATTAATGTAGATTATGATTGCAATATAATTCATGAATTGCTTTCCTAGTCTTCCAAAGAAAGTTTTATCACTATAAAACTATATTGTTGAGTAAATTATTATTTTATAAATACAGTCTAACCAACATATAACATGTTTTTCAGTGGGCTAGTAATTTAGATTAGTAATTTTCAAGATCGACCCCCCTCTGGTGTCTGAATTTTTTTTGATTTGGAGTGGGTCTATTTTTTAAAATAATTTTGGTTTATGCTAAGAGAAAAATTTTTTTAATTTAGAGCTGAGCCTAATGGTATTTAGGGCCAGTGCAAATCTCTAATCTAAATCACCACATTAAAGCAGACAAATTTGGAAACTAGAACATTTTTTAAAATTTCAGACCATTTCTTATTTTATTTAGGCCTGATGAAGATCTCTAATCTAAATCACCATCTGGAAGTAGACAAATTTGGAAATTATAACCAACATTTTTAGTAAACAGACAGATTTTTAACACCAATACCCAATCTCAAATTGTTTAATTCATTTTAGAGGATTTATTTAGGGCTTTCTGGAATTTTTTTCCATGAAAGCAATAAATGATGTCATATTAATTTATCAACGAAACAACCATATTTTGGTAACATTTTCAGAGATCACCTTCCCCAGCAAGCTATCTTAATTATCTGCAAGAAAAAACTTTTTCAAAGCTGATGATTTAATGAGCAAATCGCTTTTCCAGCTAGATTATTTCTAACCCTGGATTCTTATATAAAAAAATTGGACACTAGAATATGAACAATTATTAATTTTAAAAACAATTTATATAAATATTGTAATATATTTTGGATATTATAATTATTATGGTCAAAGTGATTTAATAACAAATCCTTTTTTCTTATCAAATTTTATAATGAAAGTAATAGAATTTTTTTATAAATTATGAATATATAAATAATCATAATGTATATTACGAATTCAAAAAAGTATTTGGTTCTTCCCAGGCCTTTGAGCATCCTGCCTAAAGTAGAGCTTCTATGGGGTAAAGTAGAGGACTGTTAATTATTTTTAAATAAGATTGTCTATTATTTCTTCTTCAATATCTATCAGCTCATACACAGTATAATTACTTATTCAATTAATAAGCCTGTGGATATATTAAGAAAATTATATTAATAAATATTTATTTTTCAGAAGATTATAAGTAGTAATTTTATATTTTGAGAAATATACTTTTTTTAAATTAAAGTTGATATAATGATTAAATTGAAATATCCCATCTTTTAGAAGATAGGACATGTCTGAAAGACAATATCGTGATCACTTTACACTTAATATCTTGAAATAATAATTTACTCAACAATATTGTTCACAAAATGTTTTACAAAATCATTAAAAATTGGTATCAAGTTGGTGAAAAATTTTGGCCCATCTGGAATTTTATTCAAAAGGTCAATATCGGTACCAATTGATAATTTAGATATTAATATAATATTAGTCCCACCAGGTTCATATCAAAATTATCTTTAAATATTAGTAGTTTTAGGAAAAATAAATACAAATTAAATAATTTTTCATAGGCATGCTTATTTATTCTCCGATTTCTCTATAAAATTTTTATCTAATGTAGATTACTTTCTCTTTTATTTATAATAAATATAAGGTATGGGACTTAGGCCTATGATGGGACAAAATGATGAGAATTCCAATGTTCTGCCACCCGGACTTAATATGATGCAAAATTCTATGTAATTAGTTTTTGTAAAAAAAATCATATACAATCTGTATATTATCAATTATTTTTAATTAGTTTTGGTATATATATTTATATTCATTGTACTATGATTTTGTATAATAAAAATGGCGTTGATAAATAATTTCGGCAAAAATGAAATATATAATTTTTTAATAATATTATATAAAGCCTATTGCAAGTTGGCCGAAGTTGATCTCTGGTGTCAAAAAAAATCAGGCTCTGTTATAGTTAATGACACATAATACTTGGCTAGATTGACGATTTATTCATTAAAATACAATTTTTAAGGTTAGTTGAATATAAATTAAAAGTCTGTAAATAGCAATTCAAGCCCAACCCTTTTGGAATGTTGCTTGACCTAACCTGTCTAAATTTGTACCTGGCCTCGTTCTAATTATCCCTCCCCCTTACCCAATTTTTTATAATCCAGAATTATGACGAATAATGATGAAAATTTAGGTTTTATGATTTTCTTATAGCAATAAACACAAAATGTAAAAAAAAGGAAAAACATCTCTACTTTTGTATACCCAGCCCGTTGATTTTTTTCATATTGTAATTAAAGGCATTGCCTGATAGATAAAATATAAGTTTAACATTTTTTGAAGGATGTAGCACGCTCTTTATATTTCTTTCTTTTTATCAAAATTATTATTAAACACTATTTTAAATAAACATTAACCCTGCTCTATAACTGACGACCCTTCAATAACATAACCTTTAAAAAATCTTCCCACATTCTAATCCCTCCCTCCAGGAATCCAAACAATAACCATTTGCTGCACATGATATTATCTATCTTTCCTAACGTATCTGTTATAAATAGTTTTATTATTTTTTTGTATGAGTCATGAAATATTTTTTTTGTTTGAAATTTTATTTTTAATATTTTTTTTTAGTTTCGCGCAGTCATCTTGAACGTCATTATATAAATATTTTTAATATTTATTATGGAAAAAAAAAAAAAATAATAATTTAATATTTATAAAAAAAAAATAATCTTATATAAACTAAAAAAAAAGTGGAAATTCATTTTTATTATTAATCAATTATATTTTTTTTATATATTTATTGTTTTAAAGAAAAATAAAACCAATATATTCAAAAAAAAAAGGGTAAAAAAAAATATACTGTTAAGTTAAACGTTTCTGTACAGTGAAATTTTGAAATTGGTGCCGTGTTTATACAAAGCAACCTGGTTAGTGCGGTTGTCGTAATATCATATAGTGGTATTTGAGTCTTCGAGTGGAAAATATCATATAGTGGTATTTGAGTCTTGAAGTGAAGTGTACATCGTCTTCATCTACATCTACGGTAAAATATCATATAGTGGTATTTGAGTCTTCGAGTGGAAAATATCATATAGTGGTATTTGAGTCTTGAAGTGAATTGTACATCGTCTTCATCTACATCTACGGTAAAATATCATATAGTGGTATTTGAGTCTTCGAGTGGAAAATATCATATAGTGGTATTTGAGTCTTGAAGTGAATTGTACATCGTCTTCATCTACATCTACGGTAAAATATCATATAGTGGTATTTGAGTCTTCGAGTGAAAAATATCATATAGTGGTATTTGAGTCTTGAAGTGAATTGTACATCGTCTTCATAATCGACATCAGCTGTCCATTTATTTTTTTTTCTTCTTCTTTTCTCTTCTCTCTCAAAATAAAAAAAAAAGTCTTATCGTACGGAAGTGCTGTCCGAATTTTACGAGTTGTAAATCTGTTACACAAAATTTGCCCAAATTTTTGTCGTATCTTTAGACTTATTAACTGTAGATGTACATGTGTATTATTGGGTTGTTTACACTATTAATAATATCATATCTATTAACATTACAAATAACAAAAATTTTTATTTTGAAATTAATTATAAATTTTTTATAAGGTCGAAATGAAAAGTTTAAAATTTGTAAAATACTGGGAAATACAGTATAATATTTTTGGGGCATTGGTTATATTAGTAATATGGATGTGTAGCTTAATATGGGGAAGAAAGTTGAGAAGAAGTCGAAGTGTGAAAATAAAGGGGCAGACATTGACTATAGAAGGACATAATGGGGAAGAGGATGTTATGGGAAAGGTAACATGGTTCCCAGTGCAGGAGTTAATTAATGGGTGGACGGATAGCGAATTAGATAAATTAACCTATAGGCCTGAAAGGAGAGATTCATATACTAATCAGAGATTGGGGACATATAGGGGACCTAGAGAAAGTTCACAGGGAAGGAGAGGAGAAATGAGACCCAACTTTGATTCAAGAGTAAGGGGGAGAATGAATTGTTATAATTGCGGAAGACAGGGACATATGGTCCGAGATTGCCAAGAAACGAAATGTTTTGAATGTGGAAAATATGGACATATAGCCACGTTTTGTTCAGGAAGACGTGATAAGCTACGATGTGCAGGTTGTGGTCGATTTGGTCATAATAGGGAGGAATGCAATGTGGGTAATTTCAAAACTAGAGGCGGTTTTCCGCAGAGGGACATGGGGCAAAGTGCTCCAAATGTTAGAATTATAGAAAGTGAAAAAAATAAAGAGGTAGGAATACCATTTTTGGCTGTGAATAAAGAGCAGAATAGAATCTGTTTCCGTTGCCGGAAGGAAGGACATGGGGCGAGAGATTGCGAGTATTTGTGACTATATGATGGCAAAGAGCATGCCGCAAAGGTCGGGGGGCTTTGGGCGAAAGAGATGGAAAGATTAGATTATAGTGAGAAAGATTGGGTATCAAAGGGCATATATATGATACAAGAGGAAAGGATACATGATCCTTGCCCTAGAGTTTGGATAAATTTGAATGGAAATATGGTATCCATGTTATTTGATACCGGGGCAGCCATATCCGTGATGGGATATGAGAAATATCAGAGTATTTGGTCGGAAGGGATAATTAAACGGGAGGACATCAAGATCCGTCAGTTGGATGGATCAGAAGTCGCAGTGATGGGAAGGGTGGAGTTAAAGGTGGTATTAGAGAATAGAGTGGAGATTTTGGACTTATGGATAGTAGATCGAAAAGTAGAGTCAGTAGTGGGATGGGATTGGATCACCCGAATTGGTCCAGATTGAGGTTTTTGGGGGGTATTCGCATGGTGTGGTGTATTTTTACCTGTTGCAAGATATGAAGAAAATAGAGATATGAATTTGTGGTATGGAGAGAGATTGCCAGGAATTGAAACCTTTTTGGAAGGGGAAAGGAGAAGAGAGGATAATAGGGTTGTTAGAGACTGTAGGGGAGGTTTTGGGGGGAACTATAGGGGAGGTATTGGGGGGAACTATAGGGGAGGTTTTGGGGGGAACTATAGGGGAGATATTGGGGGGAATTTTAGGGGAGGTATTGGGGAGAATTATAGGGGAGGTATCGGGGGGAACTATAGGGGAGGTATCGGGGGAAATTATAAGGGAGGTTTTGGGGGGAACTATAGGGGAGATATTGGGGAGAATTTTAGGGGAGGTATTGGGGAGAATTTTAGGAGTTGTCGCGACTTTGGGAGAAAGGAAGAAAGAAATGATACTGAAGAACAGAAAGAAATTCATGATCAAGGAAAGTTTGAAGCGGAGCTGGAGAGATTGGCAGATGGGAAAATAATGTTGCCAGAAGAAGAGACTAGAGAAGATGATGATTTGGAACAAGGAAATACTAAGGGAACACATAGCCAACAAATGGAAATGGATGGAAAGGAAACGAGACGACGGGAAGAGAGGGAATTGCGGGATAGAGAGATAGAATTTGGTATGATCAAAGTACAAGAGGGAGTGAGAAACTTGATGAAAAATTACAAGGAGATTTTTGATGAGAAGTTGGGTTGTCTCCGAGATTATGAAGTGGATATCAAATTAAAGGAGGGATATGTGCCCAAGTTTTGTGCATTACGTCGGATACCGTTCGAATGGCGAAATGAAGTAGACAAGGAATTGGAGCAGTGGGTGCAGAAGGGCATTGTTTGTCCAGTGGAATATAGCGAATGGGCAACACCGTTAGTACCCGTGAAGAAGGCCAATGGAAAGCTTCGTTTATGCGCTGATTTTCGGGTCACGCTAAACCCGTGGGTTGTGGAGATAAAATATCCGTTACCTCGGATTGAAGAAATATTAGCTAATTTAAAGGGTAGCATATATTTTTCAAAGGTGGACTTTTCGAACGCTTACTTACAATTGAAGGTGAAACCCGAGGTACAAAAGCTATTAACGATCACGACTCCGAAGGGATTGTATGCCTTCTGTAGATTGCCGTTTGGACTTAGCGTGTCGGCTCCAATTTTTCAACGAACGATGGCGGCAGTTTTTCAAGGACTAGAGGGAGTATTTTACTACATGGATGACGTATTAGTGATGGGAAAGACTCCCGAGCAACACGAACGAAGATTGGAGGAGGTGTTCAAAAGGATCAAGGATAAAGGATTGCGGGCAAGCGTTGAAAAAAGTGTGTTGGGAGTATCAGAAATCGTATATTTGGGGCATAAAATCAATGGGAAAGAGGTCAGACCTTTAGACAAAAATATGGCAAATATAACAAGCATGTTGAAGCCTAATAATAAAGTGGAAGTACAAGCTTTCTTGGGAATGGTGAATTATTATCACCGTTTTGTGGAAGGCTTCGCGCAGATAGCGGCGCCGTTGTATAAATTGTTAAAGAAAGGAGAAAGATTTGAATGGAAGATTGAACAGGAGGAGGCTTTTGAGGAGTTGAAATTGAGGATTGGAAGGGAACCAGTACTAGTGTGTTTTGATAACGATGTGCCAGTGATATTGGCCGTTGATGCTTCGAATAGGGGTGTGGGTGGAGCGCTATTACATTGTATAGACGAATTGGAGAGACCTATTTTATTTTTCTCAAGAATCTTTAGAGAGGCCGAGACAAGATATTCAGTGATCGAGCAAGAAGCGCTAGCGGTTATATTTGGATTGACTAAATGTCGGGAATACTTGATCGGACGTCGATTTGTCATATATACGGATCACAAGCCCTTGGTTCATCTTTTCAGGAAGGACAACAAGGAGCTCATGTTGTCGCCTAGGTTGCAGCGATGGCTATTGCTGGTAGGCAGTTTCGACGTGCAAGTGAAATACCGACGAGGAAGAGAAAATTACTTACCGGATA